TTAATACTGATTCTTGTAATACCAGTGGCACGATCACTAGTAAACCTCTTAGAAGACATCGTTTAAATATTTCATTCTATTCTTTTTTTAGATAATTTTCTTATATATTTTCGTCCATTTTCTTAGGCCAGCCATCAGTTACATATCCGGCTATTCTTGACAAGATCGGATAACTTGCGGTTTTCTTTCTTAACTTGTCTTTTTAAAATTCATTCTTTTTGTATTCGCATCTTTTTTTTTGCCCTAATCCCTTATGGCTCACCAGCTGATTTACATTTTGTAAATAATATTAAACTATATCATAGCGCGCACAAATTGCGTTTGCGTTTGCGTTTTGCCGTACGCAACGCATCCCTTGTTTAAATTGAGGTTGCCATTTTTTAGTATCGTCGATTCAAAATTTTAACTAAGTTTTTTAAAAAAAAAGAATGGTTTTTGTAAATTATATTATCGTCTGCCTTATTATTTCGTTAATTTCGTAATATTCCATATAAAAGATAAGTTATTACATTTTATATAATATAAAATTTAAATTTACCTATAATTAAAGAAACTAGGAAGGGATTTTTAGTACTCCCCTAGAAAAGTATATCTATATAAGCTTTGACAAAAAATTAGAAATATTACATTGGGAATTAGGAAAAAGCTATTAATACACAATATTTCTATATTATGTTTTTTTTAAATAAATTTATATAAATAAAGGAACCTTGGTTCGAAAAAAAGGATCGGGCCTAGTTTGGACCTAAAAATACATAACAATGGGAGGGGGGGGGGCGGGTGTCAAAAAAATTGATAAAAGGGACGTTTAGCTAGATTTACTTTTTTTTTAAATATAATATCATTTATTAAAACAACTTTTTTTTTAACCATTAATCCAAAACCTTTAAAAGCTTTAACGCTATAATGTTAATATTATTCAGCTTAAATGTTTTGAAGTTTAATAACCCTTTTCTATTATATTTATATTAATATTTTTTTTAAATAAAAAAAAAGTTCAAAACCACCGAAAATCACGTAGAATTTTTTTAATGCGGTAAATTTCAATTATAAAAAAAAAATATTTTAATATGGTCATGATTTACGCAAACGCTTACTTCTTTTGATTTAGGCTAAGGCCATATCCAACCGTATAGTTGTTAAAAGTTATCAAGTTAGAAATCGAGCGTTACAAAATATTATTTTATTTCTAAAAAAAAATGAGAATATTTGTAGCGTTCGTTCATTAAAGTTTTATCTGCTTAGTAGTTGTATTAATGTCGATTCCCTTCTCTGTATAATATATAACTATATTTATAATTCTTTTTTATAATGACCAACAAAAGCTCAATTTCTCAAACTCTTTGGTATGGACATAGGCCACATTTATAGTTAACGCGTTATATTCAAGCGTTGCGTTATTAAACGCCATCGAAATCACAGATGATTCTTCATAACATTAATAATTATTGAAATAGTTCGTAACATATGTTTTCAAATTTTATCATAGCGTTATGTGTTTATAAATTATGCTTATTTATTGGCTTGATTTTGTTAATAACGCAACGCTTGAACATAACGCGTTTGCATAAATTTCTTTTTTTTTAAAATGGTGTTTCCTCTATTTGAAAATCATTCATCATTCATTCATTTTTTTTCTTTCCTTCCTGCTTTTTTTTTTATTTTGAAAAGGAAAATGGTCTGAAAGTCCCTTCCAAATATATTTTTGAGAAGGGAAAATTATCATTTTTTAACCGAAACTCATTATAGTTGTAAAATCGGTTAATTTGGTTCAGTTTTGTTGCGCATGCTCAAAAAAATATAAAAACCGAATAGTATGTTAGGCATATAAAACTCGGCTAAGCCGGTTATGAATCGGATTTGAAACCGGGATATCAACGACTACAAATTTATACCCCAAAAAAATGAAGCTTATTTTAGCTAAGAAGGGGAAAACTGCCTTATATAAATCTTATATCGTCCCAACCATCACAGAGAAAAGAGAAGAAGGAAAAAAAACGAATTTGGCGTGGGTAATAGAATAACAAATCAGCTTAGTGTAAGGACTCGGGACAGAAGATGATATTATCTACATAATGCCGTCTTTCATATTTTTTACAATTCTCGTCTAAAATTTACTTATTATAAAGATGTTAAATCAGCATTAGATACTGGATTTTTTAGATTAACAACAAATTTCGCGGTTTTCGCAGATTATTATAGGTTAAAAATATCACGAATATCGAAATTTTAGAGAAAGATTAGTAATCCGTCTATTTTGGGTTGTGTGGGGATTATTTCTCATTTTTAAATGCAAAACAAATTATGGTGAAAATGATAAATATTTTTTTTATTGTGTATGCTGTTGCTTGTGCCAAATTAAAAAAAATTTTTATTTAAAGTAAATCAATAATTTGTTAAATAAAAATAACTCTCTTCTTTTAATTTTTTTTTCTTTCTTTCTTTTTTTTCAATTACTTATTTTGTTATTTCTTATTATTGTATTACCTTCCATCTTTTCTCATAAGAGATGTAAAAATGGGACCTAATGCAAATTTTTCTGCAGGCTCCTGGTGAAAAAGAAATTGTTAGGTAGGTAACTCTATTGCCCAACATTGTGATACACCACTATTCCTTATTTCTCTTTTATTCATTCGTTCCTTTAATTAGAAATCTGCAAATCGTACCCTGCCTGGCCCAAACGGGTTTAGGACTGGGCCGAAAAAAATTTCGGTTCAGACTAGGTCGGGTCTATTATTTTTTTTAAATTTCGGGCCGGGCCGGGCCGGTTCATGCCCGAATTTTTAAATATGATTTATTTTGTCTTAAAAATGGATATATTTTAAATTTCCTACAAGAAACAAGAAAAGATAAGGGCCGGGCTGGTGAGCAAATAATTTTAATTTCCGGTTGGGCTTTTCGGGGCAAATAAAAAAAAATTCGTTTGGAATCACGTTAAGCCCAACAATTTTTTTTTTTTAAATTTGGGCTAGACAGGGCTTGAAAAATTAGGCCCAATACAGATTACAGATCACTACTTTCAATAGAACTTAAACTAGCAATGTCCTACCATTATATACAAAATTACTAATCAAAACAATATATGTTGTGTTCTAAATTTTATATACATATAATTTTTATTGAAAAAAAATATCGACTCTTAAAAAATGTACTAAAAAATACACCTTCCTTATAATTTGCATAAATTATAAAATAATTATTTTATTTTTTTTTAATTAATTTATTTGAATGTTTTAGCAAACAAAGGTTGGGTTTGGTTACGTAATTAAATCAATAATTACTTTTAAAAGGAAAAAAATAATATTTAATTAAATATGTATATAATTTAACAAATAAATATGTATAATTTGCGAGAAAACTATATTAAGCACTTTATCTTATGATCTGAAATTAAGAAATTTCTTTTAAAATTTGTAAAAATATTTGTAATCATTATAAAAATGTTGAAATTATTTAATAGATAGAGAAATTCCCTTTAATAACACATTAATTATATATATACATACATAGCATTTTATTTATTTTTTTAAAAAAAAAATCAGCATAAAACAATACAATTTACTAACAGGCTGCATTTTTTGTATTATTTCATAAATGTTTTTGTATTACAAAAGATTTAGCCATCAATATCATTCAAAATAAAGACAATTAAATTCATGTATATAACTATAAGATAAACGATTAAACAAACAATGATGGAATTTAAAACCAGTACCTTTTGTGAAGGGGGAATATGAGAGCCAGCAAATTTATCTTGATTATAAGTGGTTTACAAACAATTAATCATATTTTTTAGCCCAAATTAACAATAATATTGCATAATTAGAAGGAAAAGGTGGTGAATATATATAATTATAATTAAATACTTTATTTGAAAACCTTATTGCTAATTTTTTAAAAATGGTTAAATAATGATTTTAATTGCATAAATGTTACATAAGCTTGTTTATACTATAGAAAATATCTTGATTTAAATGATTGGCTAAATTGGCAATATCTAGGTTTTTAGCAGCCTGGCTATATACTATTTATATTTAATTCTATTCTAATTCTAACTTAGGATATTTCCAAACTCAAAAAAATAATAAAAGGTTTGCATATTATTAGAATATCTGTCCATGGACAGATACGGCGTGTCCAAAATTTACAAAAACATTTTTAAAAATACCAAACTTGATTTCATAAATTCCAATAATAAATTAACTTTTTTTTATAAAAAAAATTTTTGAATTTGGATATACTCTTAGTGTAAAAATTTGTAAAGTTTTCATTTTATTTTGTTTGGAAATACCCCTTAGGAAAAAATGTTACAAATTATTTTGTAAAAATATTATCTATAGAAAGGTAATTCAAAAGAAAAAATGAGTAACTTTATAAAATATATTTTCTAGGGCAGTGATTTCATACTAATATCATTATCTTTAAAAAAAATAATAATTGATTTATCAGAGGCTTGCACACAAACATAAAGGAGGCTTATAAAACTCTGGGTAGGAGCAGGCTTAAAAAAATTACAAACCCTAGGCCAATTTTTTAAAATAAATTAAAATTATAGCAATTTATCTGTTGGGAAAATCATTTGTTTTTAATTTTTTAATTTTCCTATTGAACAATTAATATAATATAGATAAAATTAAGTAAATTATTAAAAGACTGGGTTGTAAAATAATCAACCAGGCTTGAAAATAGATTTTCCTTTGCAATCAATGATGGCCCAACATAATATTTTATTTATAAATTGCCTTTAATCATAAATAAATAGAAAAATAACAGCTTAAGCTGAACTGGAATGTGGAATTAAATAATATATTTATATATAATTAAATTATTTGTAAAATTTTAGAAATTTTAAAATAATTTTGTCACATTAGGATAAAATATAATTTACAATAGTTATACAATAATTAATAGACCAATAAAATTTTGTGTCAATTGAAGTATAAAATTATTTTAAAAAAATGGACCAAGAGATAATTACTATAAAACAAGCATAAGATTACCTTCAGATAATTCAATTTCTAGCTCGAATATTTTAACTCTGATATCTTCAGGTAAAGAGTAGAAATCAATATCGAAATCATTCATAATCTCATCAAATTTTATAAAATTTAATTTAAAAATTCATCCAAGACATAAAATGTGTTTGTCTAGTATGATCGTGAGGTATGTCAATCATTTGAAATTACAGATTTGAGCAATGACATTTCATTGTTAGATTATAATGAATGTGGGTGAGGTACATAGGCGTAGTCGGGGGGGGGGGGGGACAAAGGGAAATTCCCCCCCCCCTCAGAAATTTATCACTATTTGTAAATATCATTTTTAGCGAATACAAAATATCCCCCTTAGTCCTCCCCCCACTCACTGACCCTCAAATGTGTATGCATATATCTTACTTAAATAATAATTTGAAAGAAAGAATGTAAAATTTGATATTTTTTTATAAAACTATTCATCATATATAGATTTTTGGGAAAATAAATTTATAAATATATAAAATGAACCAAAAATGCTTTTAATAAATGGAATATAAGCCAAAGATAAGTCTTAAGACAGTAGTGAAATGTATTATAATTATTAATAATAGATCCATAAAATTACTAAATAATATAATATATCAAATATAATTTTTTATAAAGTGAGTAATTTTAATTTATTTATCTTAATAAAAGTAAAATATAATTATAAAACTATTGATAAAATTAAATAATAAATTTAAAAAAATTTAAAGCACAATACAAACAGTGGAATATTATATGTCGTAGATTTACAGTATCTCTAATTATCAAATGGCAATCAAGTAATTTTTACCAATATAGCGAATAAAATATTTTACAGAAAACTATAAAGGATTGATAAGGACATCAGAAAATATCTTTTAAAGACGTTGTGGGATGAATAATATGAAGATTAAAGTTTAATATTATTTTTACTTAAAATAAATAGATGGCGTTAAATAATTGAATGCAAATTGTTGCTATATTTAATATCAAGAGCATTGATTAGTAAAATTTGTTAAATTATTAAATGTAATATATTCTATAACTGTCTAATATGTCTGTAAAAGTGGAATTTTAGCTAGTATTTTTTAACTAATTCTATATAATAGAGTAAAATCAACTATATGTCTACTTACTTTTTATAAATAAATTTCTTATAATTGTTTGGAATAAATTATTACCATGCTCTTATATTAAGGTATATACAATACAAGTAATTTATTATATTTTTATTTTAAAAAACTAATAAAAATATATTTCATATTTGTTCCAGGCTTATTTTTTTTTATTAAAATTTGTAAAAATATTTTATGACTATATATAGACTAAAGTAACCCGGCCGAAGGCCCGCCCAAAAGAGGGTCTGGGGGGAAGCCCCCAGTATTTTTAATTCCCCCCCCCTTTATGAAAATCCTGGTAGCATATATCAAGATCTTATAATATAATACGGTCTACGAACATTGAAGTAAATATTGTACAAGACAATGCTTTAAGAACAAAATCACCCAGTAGCGTAACTAGGCGATGGGGGTGGCACAGGGCCGGCATATGCCTGATATCTGTGGAAAAAGGGCAGACCCCTTTTAAAATTTTAACTGTCTTTTATGCTTGAATTTTGTTAATCCGTGTTATGCATAAATTTTGCAAGGTTTTATGTGGTTATGGCTAAAATGCGAACTATTTGTCTAAATATATGTTTTTTTAACTAATTGTATCAGTTAGAACTAGCGCGCAGAGTGGCGTCATTTGCCTTTACAATTTCAGAGGTCTCAAAAATTATTATATTAATTTATCTAATATTTTCAAAATTACGTCATATTAAATATATTTTCAAATTAACCAACGCTGTCCCCTTGAATTAAAAATATTTTATTATCTGCACAATGTCTAAAATTTTTAAGCAGTCCATTGCAAACTTCAAAACCGTATCTTCCAGTTTCCCGTTTTAAGGTAGCATGTAGTTAATTGCACGACCAGATTAGTCCATATTACACCTCATACCTAGCAATTATATATTCTTCATCTCTTGATGACACCCAAACCTTGCAATACATCAATTCTGTTAAAGTAGTATCGTTACTAAACCAATTAATAGCCCCGTAGATTTTTCCTAGTGACCTATATAAAATTATCTACATTTAAAAAAAATTAAATTAAGAATTTAAAATGATAAACATAATTCATTTTATATATAATTTGAATAAATTAATAGATATATTTTTAAATAATTAAAATTGATTTAAATCCTATTACTTCTTTCATTTATTAAAATTTGAAATCGAAATGATGACAACTAATTAGTAATCATAAATAATATATTTAAATTTAAGTATTTTATTTAGGATAGAACAAAATAAAGAGAGGGAGCTTGAAATAGAAATCCATTAGCAAGCTCCGGCCCTGAAAATTTTTGTCCGGGGTCCGTTTACCACTGATGAAAAGCGATTTTTTTAAAATAATATTTATAAAAATCTTTTTTAAAATTTAGGTTAAAGAGTTAAAAAAAATTAAACATTATGATAATCAATAAACACAAAAAAATATTAAAAAATCTATATAGATTGACAGCGAGATATTCTATGACCATAAAATCATATTAGCACTTAAAAATGAAATCTTTCAAAAACTATTTTATGGTAGCATTTCTTTCAGTGATAAAAGCTTAGATATTTTAAAGCTAAGCCCCAAAATTTTTATTAAAGTTTAAATTCGCTTAAAAATACTTGACTTTTTTTTTCTTTTTTTTAAAAAAAAAATAGTTTTATATATACAGAGATAGACAGACAATGTATCGATTGAAAATGTTGAGACCGATGTTTTGCCAAACTTCTGCATGCCACTACAAAGTATATGATGAAAGATTTTCAGCAAATGCGTTGGAAAAATGAATTCAAAATATGAGGTTAATATTGAACCCAATTATCCATTGGTGCTATATTTGTCCAATCAATTGCATCCTGAGATTAATAAGGGTAACTCACAGAGATTTAGAAATTATTGTCTTTTAAATGATCATATATACGTTTTAATTTAGGGCATGCAATTTAATACCAGACACTTGTTCGCATCAGAAATGTTCATTAACGCTTATTTTGAACTGATATACGTTTATATCCCACCTCAACATCGGAAATTCGACACCCAAGGCATTGATTTTTGAGTTTTTTTACAATGGGGAAACCGCGAATGCGAGAAAGAAAAATTTTCAAAAAATTACAAAAATATATTTATAATATTGAAAAATAAGAAATGCGGGCCATTATCATATATTGAGCATTTTAGCATCATGAATATCATCAAAATTAGAAGGCGAAAGATAAAAAATATTTGGGGTGCGAAATTTTTATAATGTTAACTATTCTTACATATGAAAAATTCCTTACCATAACCATTTTACCTAATTCAAAATTTTTAGTTTACTTTCTTTTGTCGGCAACTATTCATCTTGGGATCAAATTGTCAAGCATAGTAGCGAATAGAGTAGCCACTATAATGCTCATTGATACTGAAAACCCGAATCTTATTTTTAATGAGGTTTCACAACCTGTATGTATGGATACATAAAAAATCAATTCAGGGTGGAGAAAGGCAATTATAAAATCTAGAACTGGTAGATATTTCTATTCGATAGGTAGTAAATATAGAATGATATGTAAGCAAGCTAATCTGCTAAAACGGGATGTAGCGATTGTTGATTATTTGGAAAATGTAGGACCACACATAGAAAGAGAAAACGTCGAAATGGAAAAGGCTGATAAAAATTTGGTTCCACACGATATACCTTTATTACCTCGAGGAATTAATATAATGGATATACTTTATCTTCTGATTTTGTAAGTAATAATTTCAGAAATTTGTTCTAGATAATCTACTTACTATATAAATTTGTTATATTTTGGAATGTATTTTAAGCATTCATATATTTATTTCTATTTTATTTTTGGATTAACTCATGTTTAATTTTTTAAAATTATTTTCTTTTTTGTTATATGGCATCAATAAATTTAACTATATTTGGTTTGCTATCAAAACTAGATTCACGGCATTTATAGTAAATGTATTAACTTCAAGCATTGCGTTATTTAACCTTAGCAAGATCACAACTGTAACATAACGTTAGTAGCAAAGATAAATTAAGGCTTAATATTTTTTGAAACACAAACGGCTGTTTTAATAATTGGCACAAATTGAATGTTTCAAGCGCTTCTTTTCAAGCGTAAATAATACACTTTAAATGGTTTCGTACAAATTGGTAAAATAAATTACCGTTTATTAGCTACCATTTTAAAAAACGCTAATAGGTTGGCTTTTCATTGCTTTTTTTTCGCTTTGTAAGATTATATTAAATGTAATGTAATGTAAATAACTTATTTATATCCGAAAAAGGAATATTTAGAAATTATGAAATAAGAAGGCAGACGATAATACAATTTTCAAAGATAGATCCTTTCTTTTTTTCGAACTTATTTAAAATTTTGAATCGGATATTAATAAAAAAAACAACCTCTATTTAAACAAGAAACTTTTTACTTTTTATTTATTTAAGAATCACAGCAAAACGTACACGCTCAATTATTGTGCACTATAAAGCAATTAGCAATTGTCTCCTATTATTATGATCTTCACTTATTTTTATCAGCACATTGCGACATATGTTAAAATTTATCAAATATTGCTCCACATTTATCACTTTTTAATAACTTTGCGTTAAATAATGCAAACTTGAACTAACTATAAATGTGACCTTATAATGCTATTTTGGTTGATTTGGTCTAATAAATCTTCAAATAGATTTCTTTTCAGGCCAATCAAATGGTTCATACTTTTTATTCCTTGCATAATAAATTTTAAATTTAAGTGTATGTATAATATTATATCATATATTAAAAATGAGTGTAAATTTTAAAAATATAGATGGCTCTAAAAAGAGCTGATAGTAAAAAAGTACCTAAAAAACATGTATAATTATGTTTAAAAATTTCTAATTGTATTTTTTGTTTTAGGAAGGTTGACTCGCGTTTTTCTTTGTTATGTTAAAAATTTTACATGCTAAAATTTTTAAAAAGAATATGTTGATATTACCATTAGTTGAGATGACTATGGGTTGAAAAATAAAATAATTTAATATTGAGTATTTATTGATTTTTTTATTTTCGCCATTAGTAAGAGCATTTGAATTAATTGATGAGGGAAAGGAAGAGACACAGGTAGCGTCCCAGATCAGGGATTTCCCATTGGACCATGGGATGCAGGTTAGACCGTCAGGTCTGAGGCCATCTTGTAGAGAGAGGTTTGTAGGTTCTAGAATGTTAGGAATTTTAGCTTTATTGAGAGCATTATGGATGATTTTATTTATTGCTTTGTGCCGGAGGTGGCGACCTTGGCTACGGGAGCAGTTTAGGCCGTGTCTTGCATTTGGTTGTATGGGTAGGTTGCAAAGGTGGCAAGTGTGTGAATGTGTTAGCGAGCATCCTAGTCTGATTCCTATGGTAACTCTCAGTTGGTCATTGGTTAAGAGATTATCAAGGGTTAGACTAGGAAGTGCCTCGAATCATTCATATCCGCCATATTTATCGTTTAATTGAAGTAGTTGAATATCGCTGATATCGGAGGGGTTATTTTGAAGTTTCTTTATAAGGTGTTCCAAGATTGATTTATTAGAAATTTCGGTTGGGAATGTTTGACCGTCTGGGGTTAGTAGATTCCATTTTTCGATTGCTACTGTTAAGAGATCGTCATTGGGGGTTATAAAAGATGAGATCGCGGAATTGAGCGAAAGGCGATTAGAGATAAAAAGAGATAGGGAGAGTAATTCTAAGGGGATTAGGTCGATACCGCCTAGTTTAGCGGGTAATCGAGCAAGGTGCCAATTAAAGTCTGATAGTGGAAGATTAAGGATCCTTTCCATTAAGGTCTTTAAGCGAATATTATGCTTGGTGAAAAATTCTGAGGAGGTGAATGAGGAGGATAAGTGGAAGAGGTGTGAGATTTTAGGTAAATATAGGCACTTTTTTAATAGATAAAAAAGTTGGTGCGATGGGATATGATTGATGAACTTTTCCAAGTTTTGCAACTCGAAGAAGATTTTATTGATAATTTTTTCGGAGATTTTATTATTTAGTAGTAGGGAGCCCAAGAGTTGGATATCTTCGATTTCGATAATATTGTAATCTTTAAATGAATCTAGGGGAATCTCGGGGTTGAGTATGCAGATTTCTGTTTTGGTTTTGTTTAATTCTAGGCCTATTTTGGGGCATTCTCTTTCGAGGTGGAAGAGGGCTTTGCTTATTTGGTGTTGGTTACCGCAGAGAGTGCCATCGTCTAGGTACCATAAATTAAGGTCTAGATCAAAATCAGATTTAAGATCTTTCATCATATTATGGATGGCTAAGCAGAAAAGTATAGGGCCTAGGGGGTCGCCCTACTGAACACCCTCTTCTATAACGCAACCATTGAAAATGAGGGGTTTGCTATTGGAATAGCAAATGTCAACAATGCGCGAGTATTGGGGGAAATTATCGTAAAACGATTCGAGAGCCGAGGAACGGGATATAGTATTGAAGGCGTTTTTGAAATCAATTTTGCAAAGAACGGAGTTTAAAGGAGGATGTTATAGGTAGATTCGGAGACAGTGAGAGGCTATATCTACGCCTCCTTTTGTTCCGCAGCCTAATTGGTATTTGCCAAGCAGGGAATGAGTAACGGTTTTTATTTTTTTTGCGATGATTTTAGTAATTAGGCGTCTGAAGAAAGAATCGATAGCTATTGGGCGGATACCACCTTTCGGCTTTTCAAATGCAATCAAGTTAGCTCCAAATATTATTTGATGAGCTAATGTGGGGATATCTCTAGTGATTATATTATTGAGGAAGGATGTAAGTGAGTTGAAAAAAACTATTTGAATTGGGAGATTTTAGGAATGTTTGGAAGTAGGAAGGTCTATAGCCGTCAGGACCTGCTGCTGAAAATTTATTAAATTTGTTTATAGTGTCACGTATATCTTGGTTTGATATTGTGAGAGGAGGAATATTGGGCGGAGGATTTGGTAAGCTAGTATAAGAAGCTCGTGGATGGAGAGATTTTAGGTTTTCAAGAGTCGCATCATTAGATGGGGCTAGTTTTGATTGTGAGGAGATTAATTTTTGGGATCCGCAGACGTCGCCTTCATTTATTTTTTTGGAAATTTTGTCACAGGTTTTAATGAAACTTTCATTGGAATTATTGGGATATTTGATGTGTTCAAGAGGTGTTAAGTAATCTATATTTTAAAGTCTGTCTTTTATAATGTTAGGTAGTGAAATAGATTTTTTATCTTTTGGGATTGAGACACATTTAAAAGGGAAAGTGAAAAGATTATTCCAATGATTTGTGTTTGACAAATCTGAGTTAATATTATCAAATAATTTGGTGAGATGGTCTGTGATAATGTAGTTAACACTGGTTGGGATGTGCTTAATTGTTGGTGATTTATTTATAAAGATAAATTCTTCTAGTGATTTGTTATTTACTTGTATGTGTATGGTATTTATTAGGGTTCTATAAGTTTTGTGCAAAGTGTGTTCTGAGCAAGGGAGTGTTGTAGGGCTTTTTAGAGCCATCGATATTTTTAAAATTTACACTCATTTTTAATATATGACTTGTTATATTACATATATTTAGCAATTGTAATTATATTATATCATTCATGTCAACGATTTTGGATGTTAAGAATTTAAAAACCAACCGCAAATATTTAAAATAGGAAATATAATAATAGGCATTCAAACATGTCATTAAATCGGCAAGACCTATCAATGTGTGACAATTGAAAGCAGCAGTGTATTGAAATTATATATCAGAAAATATTAATCTGCAATCGCTGGGAGATATGGACAGTATTAAAATACTAAAAGAAACTAAGGAAATAGGAAAATTCTTATTTAACAACTCCTATTTATCAGATATTGTTTTTCAGGTTAACCATATAATACTTTAAATTCTCCATGGAATGTTTTACTTACTCTCTACAGGCCTTTAGCTGAGCTATATTTAGCTATTTTTGTTTTCAATTATATGAATTAAAATATTAATCTTACCTTACCTATTAAAAATATATATTCAATAATTCATTTTTCGGAGAGGATACAAGAAAGTTGGGATATGGGTAAATCCCCTTTTTACTATGATAAAATTGTGTACCAATAAAATTGCCATTATAAATTTTTTTAGGTTTAATATCTTCTTACTGTACTAAAAATAATGCCTAAACTACTAATCTATTTATTAAATAATATTGTTTACAAATTTTTACTGAACATGGAGATGCATCAATAATTGTTAAAATTCTAATGTAGGTATTTATGCCATTTTCAAATATTTAACCATTTGGAATCATTTACTGAATATGAATTTGAAATTTGAGTGTTTGCAAGAAATGTATTTCAGCATAATTATACCCATACCATGAAGTACCACTTTTGCAGTAAACTGTTTATATTGATTATATACTCAAGAATTTGTGGCCAAATTAAGTGCAATTTACAGGATAGATGCTCTACATGATACATTTGTAGTCAAATCAGATTGAAATTTAATAATTGTCCCCAGTTTGAGGTTTAAAATTAGAAGGTTTTTAATCCTAATAGATTCTATATCCAAATACTACATAATATAATATTTTTATCATAATTTATTCATGAAATTCAAACCATTTTTATATGTTCATAATTTATTTAAATGCATAAATGCCTGGCTTATTTTAATTTTTTTTTAATTTGTCTATTCCAAGCCATTGTTTTTAAATTGGCCTAGCCTGTAAAATTATGAAAATTCAGGCCCAATTTGTTAAAGTTTTACGAAAAATCCACCCCAGCCCATTAATTATATTTGATCTAACTAACTTTCTGGGCATCACATTTTTTCTAATTTTTCCCAATGCCAATTGGCTTTTATATCTCATCTAGCGCTATCTACTTGTTTTATTTTATAAATCAATTTTAATATCTGTATTCTCCATATTTAATTGGATAACATAAATAAATTCTTGTAAATTTACTATAACACTTACATAGCTTTTAGTTATGCAGCTTTTAATATACATACAAATGATATTGTATGTAATTTATTTTTAAATAGTATAAATCAAAATGTTAGCTTTCAAAAAAAAATATATCAACATTTTAATGCCACATCTGGCCTATAAAAATTTTAATCAGAGATTTGTGAGGCCCTGCTTGATATTTTAGTTTAGGGATAAATTGTTCAGCCCAGCTAGAATTTTTATACTCAAATTGCTCCTCTAAGCTCATTTATCTTTTTGCCCAGTTAATTTAAACAAAATTTTAATTTAAAATATCTTGAATTTTTTAAATATTATCTGGTCTAGTATCATTTTATCTAGTTTGCCATCTTTTTCCTAGGATCCACTTGAAGAGAGCTGCAATGGACTGGTTTTCAACCTAAACTCTTGCCCACCTGCCCATCGTATCAAAAAAAATTCAACCCCTTTATCCACCCACTAATAGTTTTTTTTTTAAATTTTCCGACTACCTTATTTAAAAGATTTGTTTAACCTGCTCTACCAATGTTTTAAAATGGTTTGATTAATTGGTTTAGCTTGTTATTTAGATTATTTTTGTATACTTTTACTTAAACTTATAAATTTGCACTATTATTAAATTAAAATTATAATTTTTATACAAATATAGACCCGTTTCTGTTAATTTTAAAAAAATATTTTCAATTCACTTATTTTATTATCTGCTGCACAGTGTTTAAGAATTTTAGCCAGTCCATTGCAGACTTCGAAACCGTATCCTTAGATTTCCCATATTAGTGCATGGACCGTAAGCCTATATCTGACCTCAAATCTTACAATTATATATGCACTACCTCTTGACGACACCCAAGCCTCCCCATACATCAATGCTGTTAAAGTAGCAACGTTACAATTGTTTATAAAAATGTAACCAATTAATAACCTCTTAGTTTTTTTTTAATTAACCTACCTAAAAATTATCTACATTTTTTTTTAAATGAACATATTTTATATATAATTTGAATAAATAAAATGGATATATAATTTTTAAAAAAATTTAAATTTATATAAGCCCCTTTTCGCTTCCTGCATTCATTTATTTAAATTTTGAAATCAAAATGGTGGCCAACTTATTAGTAATCATAAATATTTATGATAGATTTAAATTTAAGTATTTTATTTAGGAAAAAAGCAAAACAAAGAGAGGGAGCTCGAAATATCTATTCAATAGCAAACCCCGTTCCGGAATATTTTTGTCCGGGGTACGTTTGCCACATTGAATGAAGAACCACCATTTAAAAAAAATTATTAAGAATAAATTTCTTTTTTTATTTTGTTGATAAACATATTATTGTAATAATTAAATTCAAAACAATATAGATTGACAGCGAGATATTCTATGGCCATAGACTCATATTAGCTATTAAAAATGAAGTCTTTCAAAAACTATTTTATGGTAGCATACCTTTCGAAGAAAAATGTTTAGATATTTTGGACCTAAGCCCCAAAACCTTTTCCAAAATATTAAAGTTTAACTTCCGCCCATAAATAGCTTGACTTTTTTTTTAAAAATAAGCTTTATATATACGGATGATGTATCGATTGAAAATGTTGAGGCCGATATTTTGCTGGAACTTCTGTACGCCTCCAAAAAGTATATGATGAAAGAGTTAATTAGCAAATGCGTTGGAAAAATTAATTCAAAATATGAAGTTAATATTGAACCCAATTTTCCTTTGGTGCTATATTTGTCCAGTCACTTGCACCCAGAGATTGATAAGGGTAACTGTCACGAGGTTTAGAAATTATCGCCTTTTAAATGATCACATGTACGTTATTTTAGGGCATGCAACTTAATACCAGACACGTGTTCGCGTCAGAGATGTTCATGAACGCTTGTTTTGAACACATTTACGATTTTATATCTTACCTCAACACCCAAAATTTGGAGCCGAAGGCATTGATTTTTGAGTTTCTTTTACAGTGGGGAAACCGCGAATGCGAGAAAGAAAAAATTTCAAAAAATTACGAAAACGTATTAAAAATATTGAAAAATAAGAAATTCGAGCCGTTATCATACATCGAACATTTTAGCGTAACGGATATCATCGAAATTAGAAGGCGAAAAATATTGGACGAATCACGAATCAACGATTTGCTTTTAAAAATATTTGGGATGCGAAATTTGGGTAATGTTTCGACTACCCTTCCATATAAAAGATTCCTCACCATAACCACTTTACCTAATTCAAAGTTTTTAGTACAACCTTCTTTATTTTGTCGGCAACTATACATCTTTGGGATCAAATTGTCAAATAGTATTATCGCAGCAAATAGAGTAGCCACTATAACGCTAATTGATAATGAAACCCTGATTTTTAAACTTACCGTTAATGCGGGCAATCAAGTTTTACTACCAGATATCGCCTTTTACCCATCATATATATGCAAGATTGACATAAATGATGATTCGCATGTTGAACTTCAATGGTCCGCGAATGATATCGAAGTTAAAAATTCGGCAAATTCGCGAATCGAAATAATATATTACAAATAAAAGAACAATATTAGTCGAATTTAGGTTATTTGTCGTTGTTATAATAATTCGCACGAAATAAATTGACTTAAATATCAGTAATAAAAACTTTTAAGAATCTTTATCTTGAGGGTGAATAGTTAGATAGAACCTTTCCTCAAAAACCCCGAATTCTTCTCTTATCGTCAGCTGTGTATTATAGTATTCGATACCCATTTTTAAATAGAATTTGCAGAGGAGAATTTAATAAATGCGCTAATGCAAATAATAAAGGATTATTCGAAATTATTAGGTTTAACCATTTTAAATTTGTTTGATGTGGAAAAATATAGCGTACGAAAGAATTGATTTATCGAAATGAATTTTGGGGAAGGGCAGTGGGAGAAGAGATTATTGAAATTAGGTTAAATTAATGGGGCAAAACTAATATTGTAATTTAAGTTAAATTTGATTTTTTACTCAAATCCAATGACATATAATAAACCTAGACTGGCGATTCATTCATTAAAAGTGTACATCAATGCAAATCAGCTGGGGACGCCATCTTTGTGTTACACTAAACATTATTAAAATTTTAAACGATAGCCTAATTTATTCCTATATCTGACGCAAAATTTATTAAAGAATTTCCTGATCATCGAGATAATTAAAGAAGCAAGTTTCCGATATAATCGTAGTTTTTAACATGAGAATAATTATCATAAGGGTTACCAAAATGGCGGATCCAGCTGATTTGCTTTTAACGACGCTTAAAAATGCATTTTAATGAATGAATCGTCAGTCTAGGTATTATATATGTTATTGTTCAAATCATCTTCGATAGAATAAATATTAATCATAAATTTATCACGTGACAAAATAGAATACAAAATCTTTTTAAATATAATATTTGTATAAATATGTAATTTTTTTTTTAAAAAAACTCTCCTTTCTTTTATTCTTCATTTTTCTTTCTCCTAAATTTTTTATATATATAATTTGCCCACGAGTCATAAAAATAATTTATTTCGAAATTTTGTTTAAACGGGAAAAATAGAAATTCCAATGTAATTAAAATGCAGGATTCTAGACCGTACCCATGACTTCCTCCCCTCCCTAACCCGGACCCAAAGAATATTTAGGAACTCGAAAAACCGCCCATTTTTCCGAAACTCAGGTCAATGTGGGACTCTCCCATTATCGTAGAAAAGAATTTGATTTCTAATAAAGTAATTAATTTATGGTAAAAATTTAAAAAAAAAAAAATAATTTATCAAGTCTGTGAACCAAAGTGGTGATTATTCGTAACACGAACTTTATTAAGGTTTGGCAAGTTCCAATAATATATAATAATACCTAGTCTGACGAAGCATTCAGAATAATGCATTTGAAAGAGTCATTGAATGCAAATTAGCTGGACCCGCCATTTTGGTAGCCCATATAGTAATTATTCTCATGTTAAAATCTACTGTTAAATTGACAACTTCATTCCTTATTATCTCGATGATCAGGCACTTCCTTAATAAAGTTTGCATCAGACATAAGAATAAATTGGCCCTCTCAGTAGAGGTGGGCGCGGGCCGTGAAATTACGCGTGACCCATCGTGTCACGGTGAGTCACGGCGTGCGTGTGAATAAAATTTAAATTCCAAGGCGTGACCGGCCTTCCCAAAATTTTCCCCGGGCGTGATCGGGCGTGAACATAAATTCCCCGTGAATCACGGAAATTTTAATTTTAAAATTGTTTTTTTATAAATATAAATTTGCAATTTTATAATTATATTATTTATTTTCTTATTTAATTTAGTTAATTTATGAAAACTAAAAATCTTCCGCATTTTATAAACAACATCCGGTATAATTTCGTTAGTTCTTTTTTTTTTATGTTTAGGTGTTTTTTAATCGCGAGACTTTATGCTAAATATTGCTTAAACATTTTACAGAAAAGTCAGTTATATTTTATTTGTAAAGATCTTCAATCTTTAAATGCAATAGAAAGTTGTTACATATGTATAACAAAATATAAAAGTTGTGAACTGAAAAACTCTCATAAATACTATAGGTCCAAAAATATACCATGAAATAAAATTTAAGATTAAAAACATGATATATAATTATTACTTGTCCATAATCACTGATATTTGGACGGATGACTATAAAAATCTAAGTTTTTAACCATTATAGGACATATTATCATTAAGGATTTTAAATTAAAACATTTGTTTTGGCCACAAGGGCAATGGATGAAAAAAACGTCAAAATTATAAGTGCAGTCATTTCAATTTTAGGAGAATATACAGAAGTAGAAAATCACTTAAATTAATGTATAGTTGTGAGTGATAACGAAGCAAATCTTATAAGTGCATTCAAAGATGACGGAACGCTAGCATGTATATGCCATATACAAATAATATTATGCATTATGTTTTTGACAATTGTTTAATTGAAATAGCCTTAAATATAAATGGTGTAAAAAAAATAGTACAATATTTCAAACAATCTACAGCTAATAGCAAACTAAACCACACCCTTAAACAAGATGTAACGGCGAGAATAACGAGATGGAACTCTGTATATATCATGATGCAGAGTTTTAAAATCATATTCTGAAATACAGGCGCTTGTTTAGCGAGCAAGAATTAAATAGATTAGCCACAATTGATATCAGCATCATACGCGAGTTAGATAAATTTTTATCAATATTTAAAGAATGCTCGGATAATCTGAGAGCAGATTCTCGTCCCACAATAAATGAAGTTTGTCTATGGAAACAAAAATTAGTAAAATTTTGTTAATCTTCTGAATCTGAACGTGATACAATAATAATCACAACCTTAAAATACAGAACAAGATTTCTTTTAAAAGATTATTATGCAGCCACTACATAAGGTAGGCTTAATTCTAGATCCGAATTTAAAGAAGAAAATGATAACAATCTTAAAAATGCTAAATGATATAAAATTAATGATATGCATAAGTCAATGCCAACTATCATTTATAGCTTTACTAACTTATCCTAAACTCATAAAAAAACGTATATTCTAAATGGTCAATACCAACTATCACTTTCCTAATTCATCCTACACTCATTAGAGAATTTCTAAATGATTCTGATGAAGCATCAACATCACCGATGAAGGCTGTGCGGATGAACTTAAAAGATTCATATAAGATAAATAACAAAACAATATTTGAAGTTTTGGAAGCAGGAATATTCGAGAAAATTACCGAGTAAAATTTTGTCAGCTGCAAGTTTGGCTTCTAGTGAAAGGTTATTTTCTGTAGCCAATCTCTTATTAGAGGAAAGGCGTATACAATTGAAATAAAAAAAGATGGGTATTCTTCTTTTTCTAAATAAATTTCGATTTATAGATTATATTTATTTTTTGTTATTAATATGGATTATGAAATTAGAGAAATAAATAAAAAAAGTGTAAAATTATAGCAATAGTTTTGAAAAATTTAAAAACACCGTGAATTTTCGGGCGTAAATCAAAATATTGCTTGTCGTGAGCGGCCGGGTAGGGTCGAAATTTTTTTAGTGGTGAGCGTGAATTGGTGTGAATTTTATTTATTGCCATCGTGAGCGGGCGGGTGAATGAAAAATTATGCCCGCGCCCACCTCTCAGTTAAATTTTTTAATCGTGATACGGGTAATAAAAAAAGCGTTCCCAGTTGTTTTTCATTGATGTACACTTTTAATGATTGCATCGTCAGTCTAGTTATAATTATGTCATTAGCTAGTTCTCAAGATTTGAAGGGTTGGGTTTCGTGATTACTTAAGTTTCTCTAATTCTCTTTCTTCGATAAACATATAATACTTTTGCTATAATTTATCAATATCTTCAGCATAAATTTGAAGAGGTGTCGCCAAGATACCTGTAGCGAACTACACTTTGCGAGTAGGCCTAAGAAATTTTATTTTCCTATTTTTTATTCAATTAACAATTTAATTGTGCCAAAAATTTTATTATTCTATGAGCCCGTGTTTTAAAACAAATTAGTGTATAAATGTATTCTCTCAAGAAAAACAAAAAGATAAATCAGGTTAATTTTAATTTTTTCTAAATTGTATAACTAAAAATAAGTGATTATTTGAGAAATATTATTACCATTAAAGAGAATATAACCACCTTTTAATGACGTATAAATTATCTGGCAAGGCTCATTATTCATCATGATTTTAGTCGGAAACTTAACCTCTAAATTAATCGATTAAGACTAAAATTATTAATTTTATATAATTTTTTAAAAAAATATACAAAAATATTAGATTTTGTGATAGTCCATACGCTAAAAATAAACAAATTTTAAATTAAAATAAATAAAAAGAAATGTATTAGAGATAATATTATAAGCAAATCCACGAAATTTGTTGCTGAAGTTTTTAGTCGATTAGTCGTAGAAGGAAGTCGTCTAATTAACATCACTAAAAACTAGTGTAACTAAAATATTGATATGCAATGCCCACCCATACTCGGGGAATTTATTTGGGCCAAGCCATAAATTATTGAGCTGTATATGGTGATTAAATTTAAACGCTACTTTTAAATGTAGCGCGCTATTATCCAATTTATAGGTTACTTTAGATTTTATTTTTTTTCGTATCTAATTGCATTTCAATACTGCCATGTCATCCACGAGTAGAGTGACGATCAGAAAGTATAAACTTGTATAAAAAAAATTTCACTTTAATTATGTAGGAGGATAATGCAATAAAATGTAACATAGAAAAATCATCAAAATTAAATGATCAAGTATTTTTAGATTTTTAAAAAAAATGGGCCTAGAGGATATTGAATTGTATTATTTATTTTAAAAAGAATCATCTATAAGTGGCGTGTTTGGTCTGACTAGGGTCAGTCCTAAATTATTACCGTGTTCGTTAATTTTATGTAGGGGATAAGTAGCATAAATGATCCTATTTGCTGACCACCATCCTTCCTTTATCTATTGAACCAATTTTTCGCAAAATTGTTAAACGATTCAACTAAGTATTTAATATGTATAACATCCAGATAATAATTTATAAAATAATATCATCAAAAAGATGAGCCTGATTTTATCCCTTGTGCATGTCATCGTTGATGTAAAAAAAAATCAGTGTTTTTTTGGTAATATCCCCCACACTTCACTATTCTTTAAAATATATATCAAAATTAATATATCCACTCTTTTATTATATAACCAATCATATTAACAAAATGACAATTTCGAATACAATTAATGAGAAATACAAAATTAGAGCTTAAAAAATAATGTAACTATATAAACCAGAACATTTATTCAAAGAAAAAATAATCCCCATAATCATAAGGAGAGATCGATTTAATATAACAATAATTAGCCTTTAGAATGGCTATCGCGATTTTCTGTCTTAAGTAAAAGCCTACATAAGGTTCCCCAGTAAATTTTCCTGATTTGGAGGCCACCGTACTTTAAAAATTTGTCTTTAGCCCAATCCCCATATGTTGTCAAAGCGGAGAAAATGATTATCACGAATTATGTAAATAGAAGAATCGGCGCTGTATTTGACCATCTTAAAATATTGTTTATATTAGTTATCAAAATCTGTTCAATGCGAGACATTCTTCCAGCATAAGGTGTTTGTACACTTCAAAATTATGGTTCAGCGATTTGATCGTGTGCAGCATCACGCCATTGCTTCCCAATGCCCCATACTTAGATTCTGTCCCGTAAAAAACTCTTCTAATCCTGGCGTGCACTAATGCCATGGAACACCTGCGACATAAAAACAATAATAATTTATAAATTTTTATTAGTAATAAGACTTCTCCCAAGAAAATCTTATCCTTCTAAAATCTACATCCACCAGTTATTTTTTGTTGTTGGAATATTCAAAAATATATATAGCATACAAAACTATTAAAATTAAATAAAAGTTTTATATGTCCCCTCTCTCCATAATTTAAATATTTTGAAAATTTTTTTATATTGTTTATAAAGGTGATGCTAAATTTAATTATATATTGAAAAAGAAGTAAATACCAAAATTTGTATACAATAAAAAAAACATAAATTTACCATATTAAAAATAGAGTCCATCAACATTGGCCTATGACTATCCATGACTCAATGTTAATTTTTTTGATAGAAAAAAATGAAAATTTTTCGATCAATACTGCCTGCCAACAACGTGTGTCTTATAAATTTAATGTATTTAAAAATTTATGCTTTTAACGCCACCTTGCGGATATATATTTATTAAATTTAAACATTAATAAAATGATTATTTTTGTAAACCTCATTCCCCTGAGATATTTGCAGGAAAAATATATTAATAATTTTTTTAATATTTAAATGTAAATTAAAAAATCCGACTAGCACACGAATAAAAAAGCAGGATTAAAGGAGTGCAATAAAATTATTGAGGGAAGAATCACATTAATTACCAGGCCTATTCCTTTATGGAATTGTCATTATCTTAAATTATTTAAAAAAAACCAGAGATAAATAAAATTGTAACTTTGTTCGAAGATTAAAAATTTATTGTTCAAAATTTCTATGGTCAAAGTCTTTGAATTTTGAGCAAATGTTTAGCACTAAAAAATTAAAGCCACATGGTTTTATCTTTTATTATATAAAAAATAAACTGATTATTAAAATTAATAAGAAAATCGTGAAAACACTAACATTAAGTCGCAGTAAAAATACAAATTGATTTCTTTAATGTTTTTTCACAAATAAAAATAATACTTGATTCATTTTTTAACATTTTTCTAATTTAAAAAAAAACTAATTTTTTATATTTTTACTTGTCTTTAAAATAAATAAATATATCTAAATGAAACATTTAAAAGATACGCTAAAGTGTTGCAATCCACTGAATAAACCGAAGCATAAAAATTTTAAAAAGAATTTACGTTCTCTACTACCTTGGATGCTTAATATAAATAGTGATTTATATCTTCAACAAAAAATATGTAATTTGTGCCGATATTAGTTAAGTAAAATTGGTCCACACATTCCCAAAGAATTTATATACCAAATAACTTATAATCAAGATGCCTTTCAATCGATTAATGAAACATTCATTACACAATATTGGATTCAAAAGATTGAAAAAGCAATAAAGACTAAGGTTGAAATATCTGATTCCGAGAATGATAATCCAATGAAAGTAGAAATTCTTATTGTATTAAAAGATATCAAAAAATCAACAATACAAATTTTTACAATTTTGCCTCAAAGATGGAGTGCAAATAAAATTCAAGAGAAATTCAACGTTACATCATACATGGCAAGAAAATCCAAAATGGTGCTAAGCACTAAACGAAAGCATTTAAACATGTCAAGGATTTTTATAGTTCTGATGAAATAAACCGATTCATGCCTGGAATAAAAAATTGTGTATCTGTTAAATGCGAAAAAGAACAGTCCAAAAAAGACTAATATTAAATAATCTTAAAAAAATATTCAAGATGTTTAAGGAAGAATACCCAAATATATCAATTAGATTCTCTAAATTTGCCGAAATTAGGCCCAAAAAATGTATTTTAGCTAGAGCTATCAGAATGTGAAATTAATGATAAATGTAATAGCTGAAACCACAGCAGGAGAAGGTTACTTTATAAATTCTTATCACTATCTTTTGGCGCAAATTATTTGCAAACTCAGCCAAAATGTTATTTAACATATTGTACCAATTGTTTCAGAGAAATCGTATAAAATATGTCACGTTTAAACAATGGATCACGGTGGATAGAACAAATCTGAAACTATTATAAAGTCCGTTGATTTAGAAAAAGTTCAAATTTTACTGCGTCACTCGTTTATAGCTAAACAACAAACTTTATTTTGAAGAGTTCCAAAGAAAATTTAAAAGATGGGGAATTTTTAACAATTCTAGATTATTCTGAAAATTATTCCTTTATTTTACAAGATGAAGTTCAGGGATTTCATTGGAACAACGTGCAGGTCTTTGTATACCCATTTCTAGCATATTATAAATCTGGAGAAGATTTAAAAAATATAAATTTTGTTATTATATCCGAATCATTAAACCATAATACTAGTGCAGTCCATCAAATTTTTTTATTGATTTCTTAAACAGCCAAATTTAATTCTAAGCCAGAAAAAAATAATATATTTTTCATATGGAGCCGCGTCTCAATACAAGAGTCGCAAAAATTTTCTGAACATATGCCTTCATACATACGATTTTAATGTTCCTGCGAATGGCATTTCTTCGCCACTGCTCACGGCAAATATGCATGTTGTTATGTGTACCGTGTTTTAGGTATAGCGTGGAGACATTTTTTATGATAAGTATTTTTTTTTGATTAATATTTTTTGATTTTATTTGCACATTCATTCTTTTAATTTTTATTGGTGATTAATATTTTTTTTTGTTTTTTCTTGCACATTCATTCTTTTAATACATTATAAAAATTTCTATTTTTAGACTAATTAAATTATTAATCAATTTATATTTATTTTATAGTAGATATATATATATATATATATATAGATAAATAAAGGAAATAAAAAGAGTTGTCGTTTTTCCAGATTTTCTTCATTGGTTTCGTTCAAAAGAGAAAAAATTAAATTTTGTTCAAAAGAAAAGAATACTACAAGTAAGAAAAAATTATATATTTTATTGTAAAAGTGCAATAAGAGAAAAAGGAAAAAAAAAGAATAGATAATAAATTAGAAACATGTGACGGTATCGTGGGACTGGGAAGTGTCCAAAGATTAGAGTCCAGAGCTAGTCTACAAAGCACAAATAAAAATCAAATCCTAACCCCATTAGAATTATATAATTATGCTAAAAAAAAATATTAATGGAATTCAATTTGAATATATCGGAGAATTAGCTCTTCGTAAAAGATATAATTCTGTACTGTCAAACATGGGACCCAAAAAATTCACGGGGTTTTTACCAAAATAAACTAAAAACCAAAATATATTCAAATTCCAAAAAAATATAATATAAAACAAGTTTCGTTTTTAAATGAGAAAATTATATTTAAAAATATTAATGGATATGTAACATGAGTATATGATGACAAATGGTGATTAGGGTTTATAATCGATAAAAATGATACAAATGAAGAAGTAAAAATCCGATTTTTACACCCTTGTGGACCTTCAGCCTCATTTAAATTTCCTCTGATAGATAATATTTTAGTGTTGCCCAAATCTAATATTCTCTCGCTGGTCAATCCTTCTACTCCCATCGGTCGAACATATATATTATCTCCTGAAGAAATCTCACAAGCCAGCCAGGCTTTGTATTTCTTAGAATGAAGATAGATTTAATTAATTTATAAACTATCTTAATTAGGCAAAATTTGTGAAGATTTTAAAAATTTCATGATCTGAATGACAAATAAATATATATAATGTACATTGTAATCGATTAAGTATGATATACATACATTAAAATATTTTTAATCAATAAAAAAATGAATTTTAACATATTAAATATTATATATAGCGCCATCTATTTTTTAAAAGTATATAAATCGCAATAATATTTTAAATAAATATCCAGCGATGCTAATTGTTGAAGAAATTATTTAAAAAACAGTAAACGGATAATATTTTTTAAAAAAATAAAAAATTGGAGATCATATTCATTTCGAAATATTAATTTCAAATTTTCAACTTACCATAAGATGACCCATTCTAAAAATAATTAATTTTGATGTTTTCGCCATAATTATCAATTATTAACTTAGCTATTGATATTAGATTCAATATTTTATCATATTTAGTTTTAAATTAAAAACTAATTATTTAACATTAGTAAAAAGCAAAAAAAAGACGTTTTTTGGACATTTAACCCCGATTATCTCCGCTAATATAGTTGCTAACGAGAAATTTTGTTTATGATCTAATGGGAACATATATAACCAGCCTATAATTTTTTATCGAAATCGAAAGGGGTGGGCCGAAAAGTGATTGATTTGACATGGAATGACCCTAAATGTTTTAAAATCTAACCCCTTATCTAAACAATAAAATAAGTTTGTTACATTATGCATGGTTCCCTAGTAGTAAATAAATGGTAGTTGGTACATAAATATTGCATTTCGTTTTCAAATTTTGCGCTTGAATTTTGTTCTTCAGTCATAGATGTGCCACCATAAGATTTGCATATTTTTTTATTGTTCGGATAGTATTCTCTAATTATGTTATATTTTTTTAAAATGTATTTTAATCAGGGATGTAACTCGAACCCTTCTTAACCATCGTATTTTGGCTGAACCCGAACCGAGACCCTTTTTAAAAGTGGAGGGTCCAAGGGTTCTAGGTGCCATAAAAATTTTTAAAAATATAAATATTTTTTTTAAAAAATAAGATAAATTTTTTTAAATTTAATATTAACTTATTTTGTGGAATCATTTATTTTATCTTCGCGATTTTCTTCCTGGACTTCCATTTTATTTAGAGATTGATATCATAACTTATTTTTCAGTGTAATCATATATTTTATTATGTAAATAGTGCTGTAAACGTTACTATAAAAAAGAAACGCGTTACCGTTATTCGTTACATATGAAAAAGGAACGCGTGTTACCGACCTTTCAAAAAAGTAACGGGGTACTCGTTACTTTAGAAAATTAAATATACACTAAAATATTATTTATTTTTTCCAAAATAAAACTATACAAAAAAAATATAATATAAGATAACATCTTCATTTAACAATTTTTTATTTATATTTAGCTACAATTAATTTCAAAATTTTGATCAGATAAACAGGAGCACTAGGGCTCAACACAGCTGGTTAAACAATGGGATGTTATATATAGTATTTTAATCATAAATAAAATCTATAATGAAATTCTCTGTAAAATTTTGTTATTAGATAAATCCTGGCTACGCCACTATTTAATATATACATATTATTAAAACAAAGTTTTTAATCACTATTTTTTATTCATTAAATCTATTAACATTTATAGCCAAACCAATAGCAATACTAAAACAAGAAATAGAAGATATAAAAAACTCAATATAATACTTTTGACCAAAACCAATATTTTGTTAATCTAGGGTTTTTAATGTTGGTTCCCAGCCCAATACTATAGTAAAATTTATTTGCTTATATTTAGGGCTGCGCCAATCCACATATTTTTTACCGATCCCATTCGATATTGCTTCAAAACCAATCCGATATTTATATTGATTTTTCACCACCCCCCTTTGAACCAAATGTATTTAAGAAATCAATATTTTGCAAAAAATCAAATCATGCATTTAATTTAATTTCTTTTATTTTTACAATTAAGACTATAATTAAAAAAACATATATTTGATAATATATCCATTTTATGTTGATATGAATTATAGAATTGTATTTAATATATAAAATTATATTAGATTATTTTCAAATAAATACGAGAGCCTCTAAATTTTCTGGCAATTAGTTTCTTCGATATGGAGTGTCTATATCCCTTGCCGTATTGAAGGTAAACTCAGATGATTCCGCAGATAACGTAATTTGCAAAATTATCTTTCTCTTTTATAAAATATTTCCATAATTCAGATGCCATATTTAAAAAAATTCTTTTATTTAAAGTAAAAATAATAAAAATTTCGTTATTATTTAAAAAGATTTAAAATAATTAAAACGTTAGGTGTTCTTTTCTATTTTTATAAAAAAACTTTTAAAATACTATAAATCTATTTTTAAAAGAATAAAATTTAGAAGGGTGTTGTGCAATTACATTGTTTAAAAAAAGATTATTTAGAAAAAATTATAATAATGTAAAATAAATATGCGTAACATAAAATAACAAAAAAAGGAAAAGTAAATAGACCGGATCGGTTTTTTACTGGTAGGCCCGATCCGATATTTTTGGAAAACATTAAACATCGAGCCGATTCGATCCGATATTTAATATCGGCACAGTCCTACTTATATTTTAATTCCATATTAAGCTTTTCAAAACATTATGAAAGAATATTATTCTATTATTAAAGTAAAATGTCCTAGTTTTATTGTAATTTTTATAATATTAATTAATTTGTTAATGTAAAATGTCAATCATGAAGATTGCAATTATAGAGAAAAAAAAGGATCTTATCATTATATTTTTTTTTCTCGGGAAAATTTCTTACAATATTACATTTTTATGCTTTTAGAATAAATAAAGAATTTGTATTAAAGTTTCAGAATATTATTCAGATCCGTTTATCAATTTCAGAATATTATTCAGATCTATTTATCAATTTCAGAGTATTATTCAGATCCGTTTATTCAGTATTTTTTTAAAAATTTATCTTTTTACCTCGAAATGCTTTTTTAAGTTTGAACTGCTCGACATTGTGGTTGAAATATTTGTGTTGGGATATGATTTACATTTACAAAGTTATAGACATCCATTAATTTTCTTTATTGGTTTAAAATATATTTCAAATTGGGACCAGAGAAGGGTTAAATCATCTGAAGAAGTACTATAGACATAATATTCTTAAAATAAATTATAAGAATAATAATATCATTATTAACATTTACTTTGAATTTTGTTTGAATATCAATTTCGACAGAAAATTTATGAATATTCGATTTCGATAGAAAATTTAACAACGATAATTTAAAATTTGATATGAGTAAAAACCGGCTTAAATTGTTTATATTAAGCATTATAAAATAAATAAAAATAATTTTATAATACAATAAAATATGTTTTGCTTTTTATTGATATATATTAAGAAAAAATATAAAGTAACGAGTAACGTTTTGCGTTAGCGTTACTCAAAAAAAAAGAAACGTGTTACCGCTACCTCTAGAAGAAGGTAACGAATGACGTTACTTCACAGCACTATGTAAATTTATTAATATGCTATGTTATAGAAATATGTTGATTATTTTGAAAGTGAATTATTTTGTATTACAAGTAATAATATTTTAATTTAAATGATAATGCACAACACCTTGGTCCTCAGTTTGTATGATGCTAGAGGGATTAAGTCTAAAAGATTTATGTAATGATTTTATTATAAGAGCATGTGAAGTCATTTTGTCGAAGGATGATTGGAGCCAAATAAAGGACCTTACTAATGTAATGTATTAGTTCCTTTAAAAATAACAATATTAAGATTACAATCAGAACAATTATGTTTATTTGATTTTAAGGCATATGGATTAGATGCCTTTAGAAAAATTTAGTCCTTTTATGCGAAATATTAAAAAACATGAAAATTAGTGAGCAACAATATTTGCAAAATAGTGTTGCATACACTTCTATACATATCAACTTTAATTGAGTATTGAGCAAAAACAAATGGCTAAAGACCATCTTAAGGATTTATGGCATAAGTAAAACTCCTTTATTTACAATATATTGGACGGCAATATCTATTGGTTGTAGTGATAATAATAATGATAGCAACATTGATGATCTTGAAATTTTACTTTTAGATAAAGAAAAAAAAATCAACATCAGATAGAAAGGAGGATCAAAAAATGCCTATTGCATCTTTAATAGTAAACTTCTCAGAAGTTCGAGAATAAATAAGGATATAAAATATTTTAAAATTCTGTGAAGAAAATTCTTAAATATATCCAGAATTATATATCTTATTTAGAATCTTCATGGCCGTACTGGCAACATAAGTACAATAATTTTATAAAGATAACTATCTATTTTAGGTAAGGCTAGAACGTGAATTTTCATCTTTGAAATATATTATCTACTTTACGTGGAAATCTCAAAAGATGATATTTTAGAAGATATTATGATTATGCAATAAAAAAACATTTAAAATATAAATTATTTCATTTTTAAAATTTTTCATTCGTAAATTAAGAATATTTATACATTGAAGTATAATAATAAATGAATGAAGAAAAAAATATCTTAATATGAGTTATTATTTTTATTTTCCCTGAACCCGAACCCTGGACTTAGATTCTTTCAAATTTTATTCCTGTACCCTGACCCTTCTTTGTTGAAGGATTCACATCCCTAATTTTAATGAACTTAAATTTTTTTAAAAAATAATATATTTAAATTAATAGTATACTATAAAAGGCATATTTTTTTACAAAACACTCACCTATAATCGGTATCGAGGATCTTTCTCTGTGATTGGCAAAGTGATTCAATACAGTTCATAATGGCATGGTTTAAAGGGTTCCTGGATGAATTTCGTGAATCATGGGAAGAAGCCAGGATCTTATTTGTTTTAGGGATCAACTATAACTGCCCCAACAGGTTCCTAAACATGTGATATAAATCAAATGGAGTAGAGTAGAGGTTTAAAATGGACAGGTTTTTAGGCCATCTACCCATTCTACTGTGTAAGTGTGGGAGGGGTTTTTTAATAAAATGATTTTAAGCATTGAGCAAAGTGAGCTAAAAAATTTGTATAACAATGGACAAGCAAGGCACTACACATTTTATAAGTTTAAAATAAATTCAAACCACCCTTTAAAATAATTTTTAAACATTGAATGGATAGGTGGGTTAAAAATAATTTTTAGCAAGCATGTGGGTTAAAAAAATTTTTCCCCCTTTCAGGTTAATTGTAAATCAAAGCTTATAAGCAGTAATAACAATTAGAAAATCATAATTAAGAAAGATATATTGATTATTGGATAAATATTATTTAAATCTACATTATTGTCCATTAAAGCTTTATGAGCCATTTTTATTGCCTCCATCATATTTGGTATCATAATGGCTTCTAAATTTGTATTATAATAGTTAAGAAAATTCAGTTGATTTGTGTATCTATCATTTATTTTAACAAATAAGTACAATAAAAAATAAAACTTTTTATTTTCATAATAATGAGTGGGCCAAATTTTATTTGATAATTCATATTGAGTTCTTGTGTAAGCCGGAAATTTAGGTAGCTTATAGAGTGATATGTTAAAAACCTCAATTGTATTGGAAGATAATATTTGTTTTAAAAATTTCTCATCAAAGGACTTGTAAGATGCTAATATGACCAACATATTTTTACCTTTAATATAATACTTATAAAAATCTTCACAAAGTTTTGAGACTATATACCATTTATTCTTTTTAAATGTTTAAATAAATCATTGGGTAAACAATAATTTAATTTCCTATAAATTAATCATACTGCCAAAAATATTATGAATAATTACTTAATAACGTCACATGTTGTCTTCTTATCTTCTATAACAGCTACCCAAAACTCCTCTATATTATTATTATTAAACACATTATATAATTGTCATATCAACCTAATTCAATATTTTTTCTTTCATATTTTGGTTCAACAACTGCCTTTATCATCTAATATTTGTATATAATTCAATATACACATTCCATAATAATCAAATGTATTTCTTCGTGTAAATTAAAATATTTCTTAATAGTTTAATCTAGTAATATGTCAAAAATTGCTATTGGAGTTTTGAATCAGTAGAAAACAGTTCATGTTTTAAACTTTCTTATAACTCCGTAAAGTATTAATATAAAAATTATCTACTTTTATTACATAAAATAAAATGGCATCTATAGATTAGGAAAGAGCATGGAGAATTTCAACCTTTTCTATTCACATTTTGTATAAAAATTAACGCGTTACCTGTCACATGTCAGTAACCATCCACATGTTGTATAATAGCGTTGTTATTCGGGTCAATTATAAACCCGATTCGGGTCGAATATAAAAACTTCCAGATTTAGATTATAACCATAATAATTTTAAATCTGTTGATTTTGCTAATAGATGGCAGAAAGGTTTGGGCTTCTACCTACCAAATCTTGAGGCATAAACAAAATTATTTTTAAGTTATAAAATATAAAAATAGTAATATTATTGAAATAATAAATACAGCCTACCATGTATTATCCTTTGCTAATTTGTGCAAAATAAATTATAGATGAATATCGAGCAGCGTCTACATGAGCGGGGGGGGGGGGGGTAGGAACAGTTTGCATCTCATTTTTTTGAGGGGATAGGGGGTAAGCTGCTTTAATGGGGGTAGGATAAATTTTTTGGGTGGTTATGTATTAAATTTTGAGATGAAATAGGACAAAATTTATTGCTGTAAAAATTATACTTTTATTATAGTATTATTATAGGGTAAATTATTTTAAAAAAAAACAAACAATTAAAATAAAATAAAATAACAATATGTTTTTTTATTTTTGCACAACCCTCAAAAAATAAATGACAATCAAATATATAATATATAACAAAACAGATTTAAAAAATACGTACGGTAATTTTTTTTGCATTTACAATTTTTATATAATTTAATTTTTTTTATAAAATACATACGGTAATTTTTTTGCATTTACAATTTTTATATAACTTAATTTTTTTTATAAAATAGAGTTTAATATTTTTTTCAAATGTTTAATATACGACAAATTTTATCTAGTAATACAAATTCATTTACATTAAATCCTGATCCTGTTTTATCTAATTCAAATTCAATACCTAATATTACAAAAAATTTTCATATGATCAATTCTTCCTCTGTAAGTGGTGATTCTATTACTGATCCGACATCGGTTATTCCAAGAAGAAAATATACTAACTGGAATAAGGAAAAAATTGATATAGTAAAAAAATTATTCTTCTTAGACGAGACAGGCATAAATTTGCACGTTGTACCTGTTTATGCCTGGGCCCCATATAATGTTACGCCAAGTGTTAAAGTCCCGCCATCTAAGGGTAAGAATATAAGTATATTATGCACTATGAGAATCGATGGTGTGATACTTTATCACATCATTGAAGGACCTTATAATAGCCTTTTATTTAGAGATTATATGAATGCGCTAATTAATATTCTACCGAGTGATGCAGTTATTGTTATGGACAATGCATCCATCCATAAAAGCCACCTCATTGATTGTTTTAGAGCGCGAATAGAATATTTGCCACCCTATTCGCCTCAACTAAACGCGATAGAAAATTTTTTTGGATTGTTAAAAAACAAATATAGGTCGATCAATCCCCGACCAAATACTCGAAACGAAATAATTAATAATGTAACATGAATTCTTAATGAATTTACTATTCCTTTTGATTTTTCAAATTATTATAATAATATGCATCAATTTTTGGAGATTGGTTATCGAGGACAACCAATGAATTAAGGTAAATTTATAAAAATATAATTTATATTGAAATATATTTTAAAGGAATTTAGAAAAAGGAGAATATATATATAAAGAAAAAACGAAAATTAAAATATCCAATTTTTAATGTATTTTTTAAATCTGTTTTTATATTATATATTTGATTGTCATTTATTTTTTGAAGGTTGTGCTTAATTGTTTTTTTTAATAATTTACCCTATATAATACAATTCATCGACCAAATCTATATATTGCAAACAATCATATACATTGTTTTCCAAATAAACTATCCTTTTAAATCATTTAAAAGGTTTAGATATTTTAGCAAGCTCATAATGCCATAATAATTAATTTATTGTAAATAATGGAGGTTTTAATTGAATTTATTATTTAAAAAATAAATTCTTTATATTCACAAAATATAGATAGTTGTTAGTAGAAATAGATTAATTTAAGTTATCCTTTATAAATTCTCTGAAAAGAGTATCATTAAATAAATAGGTGAAAATAATGAGAAAGTGACACCGCCGCCGAAGGCGGCGTTTTTTTTAGGGGGGTAGGCAAAGGTTTTTGAAGGGGGTTTGCATCCAGTGAAAATCCTGTCATGTAGACGCTGTATATACCTTAAATCTATAGGGTTGGGAGGGATTATACGTCTTTACCTAAGGTATATTTTGAAAAATTCGCTCCTCGCTTGAAAAAAATGAAAAGGGCACTGCATTACTTAACCGACGATTGTATCAGTAGCGTTTAAAAACAGTGGACGTAAACAGCTGTAGTCATCACTATTTAACACCTCTGAATAAAACTTCTTTAAAATAATTGAAATTTGAGATCTTTCATATTATTCGAATTATAATAAATTCAACTTCTAAAAGAGTTAATGCCAGCCCATCAAAAAATAAAATATAAACGTTTTAGCCATTGTAGGTTCGTCATATGTTTTTGAAACCTATTTCGGTTTAGACAAGTCTATTCAAGATTTTAAGCAGGGACACTCAAGTATGTTACTAAATCTAAATAGCATCTTTCGTTTTTTAACAGGAATCAATATAGGCAGCTAATCAACCTTTATGTTTGAGTCAGGACACGGTCCTATACAGGACTAGCAACCTGATATACCAAAGCAAAACTAGGAATCAAAATCACTTCTATTATTTCTGTCAACCAGAACCACTCTCTATAAAATATTCAGAACCAGAATCAATATTATTTTTTTTATTAATCCAGGTTTCTAAGTCGCATTTTTATCAATTTATTGCAAAAATAAAGTAAATAAATATACAAAATAGAAAATCTACCATTGTTAACCGGCTCAATTTAGCCTATTTTAAATTAAGATTCTGACCAAATTAATATATGTCTTGAGATTTCCTTAATCATCTATGAGAAAAATCTCCGGCCGGTGGATGACATTTTGTGGCTTAAATATCGAGTTAGGCGTTTAACGGCATTTATAGAATCCATGATATTAGAAGATATTTAGCAACCTAGGTTAATTTAATAAACAAATCACAATATTAAATAATTAACTCACTCATCAATATACTTTAAAAAGCGACAGATTGAGACATGTTTCAGTCTTAGTACTAATATCCAATCGTCTAAATGTCCTACTAAAGTTGTTGTTTTTTAAATCGGTAAACAAATATACGTATCGAAGTGGATTGTTAAAAATGTGTGATGGAGGGGGGGGGGAGCTTTAATTTTATCATTTTCCCTAGATGTATGACAGAGGAATTTAACCACAAAAAAGAGGAGATTCATAAAAATTTACAATCTATATTTTACCCAAAAACTTTTAACCGATTGGAATTATTCCGGATCAATTTTATGATCGTACCGATTCATTCGATTACATCCCAGAACATGTATTTTAAGAGTACCAATAAAAAAAAATTTATGCATAAAGATGAAAAGATACGAAGTCTAATTTACCATTATACCCAAGAAGCGACCCCAGTAGTAGAATACTTTATTCGTTAGTATTCTAACCAGTGATCTGCAAGACATGGCTCGAATCTGCTCCCTGAGGTCCAAATTTGCTTTGGTCTTAGATGAACTCAAGATTTGAAAATAATTTTGGTTTCGGGCTATGGACAAAAGAAAAATAATTTTTTGATTTCGGGCCGGGCTTTTCCTGACCGGAGCTAATTACATTTAGGACCGATGCCGATCTCTAATTCTAATGTTCCTTACGAAATTACATTTTTTTTTGCAAAATGTCGTTCAAATTCGATTCGAACGAACGAGTATAAGCTAATTTCAAAAAAAAAAAAATTTTTATTTAATTAATAATAAAGTTATCATTATTTTATAATATAAAATTAATCTTAAAAAGAAAACATTAATTATTTTTTCAGAAAATGAATGAATGGGGTAAATGAAACGCAAGAAACTGAATTATGTTTTTTTTAAATAAAAAAATAATTGGTTAAGAAGGAATTAGGTCTAAGTCGTTTCTTCCTCTTCTCCGAATGTAAATCGAAGTCAATCATTTGAAAGGTCGCTGCACATTTTGTTGCGGTGTCTGCTGGTAGAGTCTTTGTTGACTGGGCCCTGTTTGCTTTATTGGACACATCCCGCCATCCATCTCTATGGGTAAAAGTTTTTCGCACCTTTCCGGGATCACTACCTAATGTCGTTATGTTAATCGAATTTAAATATATTATTTATTCCTTTTTAGAAAATCAGTTAGGTACTGAATCGAACCAGCGACATATGACTAACTTTGACTGGCAATTCATTTCGTTTAAAAATGTATATCTCCATTTTGATTTTTCCATGTCAATAATTTATGACAAAATTTTCAGAATTTCATTTATAAAAAAATTGTTCATACTAGAAACCTAAATGGCGTGTCACCTGCTGATATGTTATCAAATTACTTAAAAATGTATTATTGATTGAATTATTAGTCAAATTAAGTATTATATGTCATTAAATTTGTCCAATCGATCCTACAATTATTAGTTTGTCTTTTTTTGCAAAGATTTGGACCCGATAAAAGAAAATTTTATTATTTTTCAAGAAAAAGGGAGGAATTAATAAAATTGTTCCTGAGAAACTAAAGGAATATCCGTCGTTCTGGGATGAATAATCAATTGGAATTATAAATCTTCCAATTATAAATCCTTTGCCGAGAGATTTTTTTTTTACATTTGAAAAATCTGCTTTGACAGATAAATGTATTCGGACATGTCACCGGTGGTGTCATTCCCGAAAAGGCGTTTACACGATAATTTAAATAATAATATAGATTGATTTATTTATGAATCGTTCCTTTATCATCATCTTTAAAATACGATAAACCAGAAAAAAGTAATTCGAGCCAATAATTACAATCGGTTCAAATAAAAATTATACGCGTTCGGTTCGCTCCTCCTTTTAACGATTCGTTTTAGGATAAAAGTTCGATTACGGTTTAGAACTTTAAAAAGGCTCCTTCCGGTATAATAGTTCGGTTCATTCTAAATCCCGGATTTTTATCCATCACTCAACTATACTCCATCAACAATGAGGTCTTTTATTTAATTAGTGTAATATAAATATCTAGATATTCTTTAGTCAAAAGATTCCATATCGAAATACGGCATCTATAAAAGCATTTTAGAAATTTTTTCATTCTTTCCCTTTTTTTTCTTTCTTTCTTTCTTTCTTTCTTTCTTTCTTTCTTTCTTTCTTTCTTTCTTTCTTTCTTTATCTTAAATCGTTTAAGTTAAGGTTTAATAAACATATTGTTGCCTAATCGTAACTTTTTTTAAAGATTAAAAATATTCTGATTTTTTTAAATTTAAAACGTTCCGACCGACAACTCTCTTTATGAAAACCCAGAAAAGTTCTAGAACATCCGGAATATTTCGAATAAATTTTCAAGCTCATATAACCCCGTTAAAGACCTGTAAGATCATTTTTCCTAGGCTCACGCCCGCCCACGACCCGGTGGTCATTTTTTTAGATCGGCTCGGCCCGTGGATATAATTTTATAAAAATTAGTAAACATTTAATATCACCTGATTTTTTTAGAAAAATTAATTTTATAAATTTTTTAATCAAAAAAAATGGAGGAATTGGAAATTAATATTTTTTTCGGACCACGTGGGTATTTATTTGATGACATCAAATTCCCTTTGTTTAAAATGGGACGCATTTTAATTTTCTCCAAAAAATGTTATATAATTTAATTAATTGCGCCAAAATTTCGTAGATATGTCAAAACTTATGGCACATTTTGAATGACATTAATAAAGTAAAAAAATACCTTAATTTTCAAGACTCCATTCTCGTAGGAGCATTTCATTTTTTCTGGGTCGCATCCCATTGGAATCAGATATTGCCTATGAAACTCTTTGGTTCTTATGTATCCTGATTGGTCCTTTTCTTCTTGGGCCGCGGCCTTAATCGTAATTTTATTATCGGCCGCCTTCACTTCCAATTTATCGGGGGTAAATGGGGAAACATTCGTGGATATCTTTATTTTATTTTATATTTCCGGTTTTTAAAATTAAATAAACAAACGAATCTTTTTAAAATTCATAAATATATGCGGGGGGGAGGCAGGGAGTTGCAGTGGAAGATTTAAAGAAAATTTTAGGTCTAACTTGTAAGTAACCGTCGAAGACGCGAAAGCGTAACGGATGCTGAAAATTACGAAATAAATAATGGTAGATTGTACAGCTGACATATCTATTCGTTTATTCCAGTAGATATTTAACATATACGAATAAAAAAAATTATTCGAATCGAAAATGTCGAATAGTTATATATTTCGACATTCTATCAAAATTTTTTTCGAAATTATTCGTATTGATTGTTAAACATTGTATAAATAAAGAATACTATATTTGAGAAATATATTAGTAATATTTGGGAACTATAGATATTTTAATATGTTCCTAGTGGAGAAACAGGAAGCTTACAATTTTATTTCCTATATCAACCATTCGATGTAGAATAATATACTTCGACCATTGTTTTATTATAGATTTGGGTAATAGGGTGTATAAAAAAATTTGGATAATGATTTAAATTGAATTCATTGTGATTTGTTTTAATTAAGGTTGTCTTTTCATTTATATCCGTCTATTCAAAATTTTATAAAAGTTCTAGAAAAAAAAAGGACTTGTCTTTGAAATAATATATTATCGTCTGCCTTCTTATTTCTTTAATTTCTAAATATTCCTTTTTTTAGGATAATAAGTAAGTTATTTATATTACATTTTTATATAATATTTATAAAGCGAAGAATGAAAAAATTAATGAAAAGGTAAACCTGTTTGCGTTTTTTTAAATGGTTGCTATCGCCAAACGGTAGTTTTACCAATTTGCGCGAGGCCATTTGAAAGGTATTATTGGCGCTTGCAACGCAGCGTTGTTTAAGACGCTCAATTTGTTCGCACTATAAGGCCGCATTTATAGTAAACGAGTTTTTGTTCAAGCGTGGCGTTATTTTAACGCAGCTTTATTACAAGATAAAGCCAATAAATAGGTATAAATTTATAAGCGTTATAGTGATAACGCTATGATAAAATTTGAAAAAACATGTGTTGGTTACGTTGATAAAAAAAATATGGTATACTATTGTAGAAATAATAGCTATTTCGTTAAAAGGTATTATATAAAATATATTATCTCTATTTTAGCTTTATCTTAAATTAGTTTGTTTTAAATTGAAAACAGATATCAGCTGTAATAACGTTACGTTAAATAACGCAACGATTGAAAATAACGCGTTTACTATAAATACAGCATGCAGCGTACAGCGTAATTTTTCTACATAAATTTATAAATATATTCATCTTTTATATTTTTTTATTAATTTTTTTAAATTTGGAAATAGGAAAAATTAAGTTTTTTTAGAAACAACCAATATTTGACGAATCAAACCCGAATATTCGATTCACAAGAATACGAAATAATCGACTTGAATTTTAGAATCAAATACGAATAATCCGATTATTTGGTTCTTCGTATTTTTGTAGTTTTACAGCTGCTAATCGGGTATCGATGAAGATTTATATAGCTTAACCCATCATCGCGTTTATATTGTAAAATGAGGGCCTAAGTTATAAGAAGTCTACTTTTAGCATTTTCTATCATTTCCTTAGAGGATATTTGAGAGAAAAAAAAATGATTTATAATATCCATGAAAGCTTTTATCTTTTTTTGGTATCACTGACATTGATACTAACCGCGACTTGACGAATATATTAAAAGAGTGGTATGCCCACTTTGTCAGCTGTAGTCATTGCCAGTGGCTGCAACGTCGGTCTAAATGTTTTTCGTTTAAATACACTTTTCTATTAGCAAACTTGAACATTTTTTAATAGATAAATGAATCGTCTTCTATAAGTTAGTATTAATTTCATGGTTTGTGGTTATATGATTTTAATCAAATCTATAAACCTTTCCAGTTAATTAAAATATGATAGTTATCATGATTATAGGATAATTTATTTTTTAGATTAAATTAATATTTCAACTTAATGTACCGTCATCTTATTTCCGTCTAACTTCACTTCCGCGATCCCTGTAGTTGTAGTAGTCGTCGATGAGAGATGAGGATCTGTCGAAAATACAATCGTAGACGTTGGTGCTGTTTCACCACCCATGGGTCCTAATAAGGGGGGAGCTTGAGGGGAAAATGTCAAGGGTAAACCCTAAATGATTAAATACGCGAAAAAAAATATTTACATATATGTATATTATGTATTTACACAAAATATTTGGAGACTAAAACTCTACAAGCTATAACTTTTTTTGTAAGTATATAGATGTGTATACAATTAATAACCTTTTAACAAAAACTTACAGGAAATATTCTTCCGCTAGGAAAACCTCCAGAAGCCTCTATGTTAAAGTAGGATTGCTGTTGCATGCTATTTTCATTCATAGGACCTCCAGGCCCCACAGGTCTATTTTGATTGTTGTAAACCGCGTACGGTATAAAGAATTGTCCCTGGGCTCCTTGCCCCGGTTGCTGATTTGAGCTCATATCTTTAATTTCCATGTTACTCTTAGCGCCCGCCATGCACAAAGTAGTTTTAAAATAAAAATACTAAATAACAAAAAGTTTAAAAAATGGTTGGGAAAAAATAAAATCAAGTGAGGAGTATTGCTATATTATTAACATTTCTGCGCGGAAGAGATTTGCTTTGAATACAAAAATTACGTAAAATGATGTGGATTTGACGCGATTGTTGCGCAGCTCTGAAAAAAAAAATTACATTTAAATTAAAGATTATTGGTTTTTTTAAAATTCGATTGAATGAATCTTCTTAAGTATTTAAGATGCTATAAAAAAAATTTTTTAAAGAAGAGACTATGGTTATTGTATTCAGGCTGTGTCCTAACTTCTTTCTTCATTCATTTTCATAATGTATGACAACAGTTTCTGAATGGTGGCTTTTTTTTCTAAACTTAAACAGGAATAAGTATCTCACCATATGACAAGTTCTATAACAAATGGTTTCCAGGAATCTGATTAGAATTTATAATTAAGAATTAAAGGGGGATAAATTGAGTTGATGTAAGAACGCGACTTTAGTTTTTATGTATCTCAATCAACTAAATAGTATTTATTTGGCATTACATGTTTATCTCTTTAGTTATTCGAAAATAGGTTCCTGTTAAGTGAAATGATTTACTTAAATATATTAAATTGCGCCTTATATAATAATACGGTTTATAAACATGGTTCATCATTTACTTTCATATCAATGACATGTATCAGAGACTTGCAAGCCCGGCACTTAGCCAGGCCAGGGTACAAAACCGGGCCGTATTATAATTTCTTTCAGATATATCCGGATTCTATACAGTATTCAAAAGATTGTAGACCAATGTCAATAAAATGTAGCCGGGCCTAACATTAATTATTGAACCAGGCCCGGGCCGTATAATCTTTTTAAAAAGCAATCCGGGGCCTAGCCCTGTTTTTTTCCAATTTAAGAGGGGTCACTTAAAAAAATAAAATGGATACTATCATTTTCTCTATCTCCTGAAAGAGATATACGTGATTCTGCATTCATTTTTTTTTAAAAAATAGCGTATTTTTTTCGAGGGTTCATAGATCTTTGGTCGGAAACGCGTATTTTTTATTTGGGAGGCCTCCTTTGATCGTATTATTTTGATCGTAAAATTGTCCATTTGTCCATTTAAGGTCAAAATGGACGATTTTTTCATTCATATGAATTTATATGCACGTAATTTTTCTAATTCTTTATATCAGATTAATGTAGTAATGTATACCTATTAATAAACATATATCAATGTATTATTTATTAGATAATGAAGAGCTACTGATTTTGAATGCCTTTAATTGATGGAAATAGAAGCAACTATAAAAATGATTACAACGTATACCTATTAATAAACTGATAAAAATGATTAAAATTTATTAGATAGAAGAGCTATTGTTTTTGAACTCCTTTAAATAATGGAAATATTTTTCTAATTCTTTATATCAGATTAGTGTAATAATGTATACCTATTAATAAACATATATCAATTATTTATTAGATAATGAAGAAAGAAGAGCTACTGATTTTGAACTCCTTTAAATAATGGAAATAGAAGCAACTGATAAATATGATTAAAATTTATTATTTATTAGATAATGAAGAAAGAAGAGCTACTGATTTTGAACTCCTTTAAATAATGGAAATAGAAGCAACTGATAAATATTACAATTTATTATTTATTAGATAATTATAACTTATAAATAAAATTAATTGATAATTTGGTCAGAATATTATATTTTATTATACATCTATATTATAATTATACATAAGTTTTATATAACAAGATGCTTTATCAACAAATAAATATTTATTTATAATTTTTAAATTATATTGAGTAATTAGATTTTGAATATTCTTTTATTTTGTTATATATTATTCATCATGATACAAGCACAAATTCCCTTTTGAAGTTGGAATATATTGTATATCTAAAAATTACAGTGTCAAAATATAAATTATTTATAATCAGATTATGTAAATGTAATAATCAGATTATGTAAATGTAATAATATAATTTATTTACTTAAATTTTCATTGTTGGAATTATGTAAGTCTAATAAAATTCCTGCATTGTTAATGTCTTCCAGGTCTAATTATATTAAAATAATTTTAAAAAAATATTTGTTATCTACTTGTAAAAGTAGTTTGATTATTAGTGTGGTTAAATGCAAAACTTTGTATTTGGGCCACATTTGTTAATATATCTAAAAAAATGTTTATTAATTTATACAATTATTTTTGTTACTTGAAAATGGAGGCTAAAAGTTATCTCTCGTAATTGGTTGTAATATTTGGGGCTGCATATGTTGTGGTTGTATTTGTTGAATTGTATTAGCTTGTTTATTCGAAAATAATTATTTTATTTGTTACTTATTGATTACTAGATGAGCTAATGGGTTGGCTAATATTCTGATCTATACTACTTTGAGAATCTCTGGTATTTGGTGGTATTTCTTGGGGTTGTAGTAATATACCTGTAGAAGAAGGTTGAATGTTAGTGTGGTTAAATGCAAAATGTTGTATTTGGGTTTCATTTGTTAATATTAAAAAAATGATTGTTAATTTATACAATTATTTTTGTTACTTGAATTTGGAGGGTAAAAGTTATCTAGTATTTGGTTGTAATATTTGGGGCTGTATATGTTGTGTTGTTGTTGGGTTGTATTAGCTTGTTTATTCAAAAATAATTATTTTATTTGTTACTTATTGATTACTAGATGAGCTACTGGGTTGGCTAATATTCTGATCTATACTACACTGAGAATCTTTATCTAAATTAATGTATGTAATCTAGATAAGTTTAGTATTAAATATACCTTCAGCTGTTAGATGATTTTGTGTCACTTCAAATACACTACTTACTAACTTACCTCTGCCTTTACAATTTCTCCTTCTGCAGCGGTAATATACCCTAGGGCCAGCTATTCTATGTATGGTATATTGAAATAGGTTATGACAGAGTATATCATTACGTGTATTAGATTTTATATATTTTATTGTGTCTAAAAAAATATTTTTTTAAAAATCAAATTAAATATATCATACTTTTGTAATGATTGATTTCTTCTTTTAACAAATAATCTTAAATTATCAGCTACAGTATTAAGCATAATGTTTTTAAATAATTTACCGCGATTAAATAGACCAATCAGAGAAAAATGGACAAAATTTACGATCAAATGACTTTACGATCAAAGTTAGGCAAATCTTTTATTTTACTGATTTACCAGTTTTTTTAAAAAAAAAAAAATTTAATATAACATTTTTTTTGTGTATTATCTCGATAAGCTAAATACGATTCTATATTTTTTTGTAAAAATTGAAATCTTTTTAATAGGGGTCGCGTATGAGCGCGTAGTTTATAGCGTTGTTAAACGGCTTTGATTTTGAACCGATTTTTTTAAAAACGGCTAAACTCAAAATTTTATTCGGATAAAAAATTTTAAGCAGGCCCCTAAAGATTTTGCTCATATAGATGACACAAAGGTTTGGACATCTGTTGGCCGAAATATCGAGGCTTAGAAAATATGTATCTGGCTCAGTGACATATAATGCCTAGATTGACGGTTCATTCATTAAAATGCATTTTTAAGCGACGTTAAAAGAAAACCAGCTGGACCCGCCATTTTGGTAACACATATATCGTAATTATTCTCATGTTAAAAACTACTATTAAATTGATAACTTGCTTCCTTATTATCTCGATGATCCGGTAATTCTTTAATAAAGTTTTCATCAGATATAAGAATAAATTAGGCTCTCGTTTAAAATTTTAATAATGATTAGTGTAACCAAGATGGCGTCTCCAACTGATTTGCATTGATGTACACTTTTAATGAATGAATCGTCAGTCTCGGTGTTATATATGTCATTGATCTGGCTAAAATAATGAGTTAGCCGTTTTTAAGAATCGGCTCAAATCTAGCCGTTTAACAACAATACTAGTTTAGACCAAAGAAGAAAAAAAATTAATACTATTATTTTCTAAATCACTTCGATGAGCTAAAGTTAATATATTTGTATTTTTAACAATTAGAAACCTTTTAATAAGGGATCGCGTTAGTGCTATTAAATGGCCCGATTAAGATTTTAGTCTAAATAATATTGTGCAAAGCTCGAGATTTTGCAAAGAGAAGTCCTAACATTCCTGCCATTCAAGAGCAAAATCTTCAATAGTGTAGTTAAAGGGCTTTGATTAGAGCCGATTTTTAAAAATGGCTGACTAAATATTTTATCCAGAAAGATATTGGTCCTAAGGTACCGAGATTTTCGTTTATAGATTTTTCAAAGTTTTGTGCCACCTTATAAGCAAAATCTTAAGGCCTTGAAAATAATTTTCCTTACAAAATATTGAGTTAGCCGTTTTTAAGAATCGGCTGAAAAATAAGCCGTTTGACAACACTAATCTCCATGCTTACATAATATTATTTTGGCTAAAAATTCTGATTTAAGCCGTTTTTATAAATCGATATAAACACTAGTATGCGTAGTTTGGTCAAAAAAAACAGAGGTTTTTATTTCAAAAACTCACAAAGTTATGCAGAGTTGTTAAAGGATCTAGATATAAAAATGTGGTATCTGTATTCTAGATAGATTTTTGATTAAAATATCTGTATCTATATATTATTTTAGACGATGTATCTGTATCTAGATCCATTTAAAAAGTATCTTTTAACAACTCTGAAGTTATGAAAAGATTTAAAATTTAATATTAACATTTTTCTCAATCCTTTTAATAAGCTAAATATGAGTATGCGTTCATTTATTTTTTAAAAAAATGGCGTATATTTATCGAGAGCTTGTAGTTAGGTCAAAAAAAAAAATTTTTCGAAAAAAATTAATATTTTTTTTTGAATCTCCTAGAAGTAGTTAAACATGATTTCATATTTATATTCTTAAATTAGAACTTTATTAATAGGAGTACCATAAGTGATACGTAGTTTGATCAAACCCATTAAATCATAAAAAATATTTTTTAATTTAATATTAACATTTTTTCTGAATCCTTTTAATGAGCTAAATATGATTCTGCGTTTATTTATTTTTAAAAATAGGACATTTATCGTGATTTTTCTAGATCATCTTGATAAACTAAACACGATTCTATATTAATATTATTAAATTAACTCTTTTTTTAATAAATGGCGCGTAGGGGCGCGTAGTTTCCAAGGACGCGTATTTTAATCAGGCACGAAAACAATCATTACAAAAATAAAAATTTAAATAGCTTTATTGAAATATTTTCCGATAATAATTATAATAATATTATAAATTAAATGGGATTCAATGACACCAGAAGATGCTGAAGATTTGTCCAAAGATATATATACAATAAGGCCATTTTATTCAAAGAAACAAAATTATTTTATCATAAATTTTAAATATGATTTTTTTTTTTAAAAGAAGCTTAAAAACCATTCAATTTGATTATTATATTTTGAATAGAAAAAACTTATCGAAGGGGATCAGAGATCTACGATCCAACCTACAACTTTGGCTAGAAGAAAAATAAATAAATCACAAATATAATATTGGCTATTTTATATATATTATTTACATAACTATCTTTTTATAATATTTTGTGGGCAATTCTTTTTTATAAATTTTTTATTTTTTATTATATATATATATTATATTTTTATAATATATTTTATACAGTTGAATGAATTTATTTTTAAAATCTCAATACATACGTGATACATGATATATAGCGCTTTTGCGCTCTAGCGTTGAAGGTTCAACAGAGCTACGCTAGGTTTTCCTCATTTCCATCTAATTGTAACTAATTTAATTTGGGTGGAAAAGTAAAAATATAAGGAGCCCACCACACGTTTGTGGGCAAGCGCACGTCCTAGTGGGCGCAACATTTCAAAAAATGTTACTTTAACCTCTATAGGCTTATTAAAATGGAGTAGGCAAAAAAGGAGCTTATACTCAAGAACTACAGTATAATTTAATTACTTTAAGGGTGGGTGGTGGCTGATTTTAAGTTTAAATTTTTTAGTGTAAGTCTTTATGATTGCTATCAATATTGAGATTTAATGTTCATAGAATCTGTAAATAAAGATGATTAAATAAAAAAAATTTGCCTGATCAGTATATAGTATTATTTTTTAATGATGATTCATCTATACAATACAGTATTATCACTTATACTTCCAAATCTTCCAAAGTTTTTGCACCGGATGAACCTAAAAAAGGAAAAATAAAACACGGAAATCAAAATAAAACGAATAGATTTATTGAAAAAAAAATGCTTCATTTATTGTAAATTAATTTGAGTACAAAATTATTTCGCAATAAATGCAAGATATTAAATTTGAGCTTGTTTTTTTTAAATAACAATAAGTGAATAAAGTGTTTGGATTCTTTTGTTATTAATCCAATTTGATAACTTAATCTAAATATATAAGGGGTTTTATAAATATATTAAATTTCACATGTTCACTTTCTTAAACAATGTATTAAATTGTATACATATAAAATCTTAATCTTTGCATATAAGACATTTAAACAAATAATATATGCCTATATAAAAATTGAAGTAAGAAAAATGGAATCAAAGCTATGAGTTCTTATCATATTTCCAATTGAAATCCTTTAAAAAACAATAAATAAATGATTGAAATTTAATTTTTTCTATACCTCTTGCACCTATAACTTCATAGTTTATAACAAGCTTACTCTTATTAAAACTATTTACAACACATTATCAAGGAAATTAAAATACAACACTTACATATATACATATTTAATTATTCTGACCCCTTCTACAACTTTAAAACCCTCTAATTTTCCCCCACCACCTACATCAATATCTTCATTAAAACATGATTTCTCTCAATTGAAACTTCTCACAACATTTTCAATGAAATAAAAATAAACACTCACTGGTATAATAAATAATTGATTATTCTGCACTCATCTACAACAAAACCCATACAATCTAACAATCCATCACCAAAAATACAAACAAATGGTTCATGTGGTCCTTGTCCTAATATTTGTCAAGCAAAATTTTGATATCTATTCCTACATATATTCCAAAATTAATGGATAATACATGCCTAAATAGCTATGTGAAGCAAGAATACAACAATTATAAGTTTGGCAACTATAATCCAAATGCATAATTTATGCCCCTCTTGCTATAAATATACTAAAATTACCAAAGCTAGAAAGTTTCAAGTTCATGGCCCCCCCATCCTCTTGCCTAGGTTCAGGGTTACCATGCATAACACCTACAGATCCTCCTCCATTCAGCCTATTAAATTTAGCAAGCCATCCCCCGCCTATTGTTGCTACCAACTTGCCCCCTAGTCAGCAAACTCCCAACTTACAATCATGGGCCAATGATTTTTTATCAGTACCCAATGTTTCCACCATATCCCGTATTCCGCGTGGTGCTCGCAATTCTTTTGCAGAATCCTTTAACAAGTTAATCCTATTAACAGTAAACAATCCTGCAAACCTATCAAATTGGAAAAACTTACTAAGTTTTACTAATTCCACCCTTAAAATTCCCGATAATAAAAATATCCAATTATCTAAACACATTAAAACTTCAATATCTCTTTTCAACCCTGACTCTATTCTAACACCTACACCTCAGACCCACCAATCCAATCCACTCCCTATTGCCCATAAGGCTAAAATAGTTTCAAACAAAATAAACAGCCTTAATATCAATTCAGCCCTTCGGGTCATGACCTCTGAAGATTCCTTAGCTCCAAACAATGAGTCCACTCTAGAAGCCTTGCTTCTAAAACACCCTTCATGTGATTCAGAATTTGCATTCTCAAGCCAAAACGATCATATAGCCCCTGAAATTAACTCTGATGAGACGATCAAAGCTGTCAGATCTTTCAAAAGAGACTCTTCTGGCGGCCTTGATGGCATTCGTGCTATTTTCATTCAAGACATTTTAAAACCTAACATATCATCCAAAACCCTTTTGTAGAACCTTACCAGGTTATTAAATTTAATTCTTATTGGGCCCCTCCCACCACCTATCATTCCTATTCTCTTTGGTGCCCGCCTTATAGCCCTCAAAAAAAAGGATGGAGGTATCCGCCCAATTGCTGTTGGGTCGTTCTTCAGAAGGACTATCTCTAAAATCATTGCCTCACGAATAAAGGAATCTCTTTCTTCATTCATGTCGCCACTTCAGCTAGGGTTTGGTGTACCTGGAGGATCTGAAATTTCGGCCCATCTTGCTCGCATTACCCTCTCAAATAATATTCCTGACAATGTCGTTTTAAAACTTGATTTCAAAAATGCTTTCAATACAATCAAACGTCAATATTTCGTTCCCTTGTTTTGCCACAAATATCCTCAATATTCATACATTCTCAACAGTTACTCTAGCCCTACTTTTTTAAAGTGCAATAACAACATAATAAAATCTCTGGAGGGAATCCAACAAGCAGACCCCTTAGGCCCAGCTTTTTTTTGCATCGGGATACACAAGATAATCCTAGATATTCAATCTATATCTAACCTCACTCTAAATTCCTGGTACCTCGATGACGGTATAGTCTCAGGCAACTTTTCCACAGTCATGTCCATTCCCTCCATCATCGAAAATCTCTCTTATATAACAGGACTATCTCTCAACTTCCCCAAATGTGAGATTTGCTTCTTAAACCCTACAACATCCATCCCTTCAGAAACCACATTCCTCGCCATCAACAGAGAAGAGATGACACATCTTGGATCACCGATAGGGGGTGAAAAAGCAATCGATACTTTTTTAAACAAATCTCTCGACAATTTATCTAATTTAAACTCACTTTTTAATTACCTACCCGCTCATCAACCCTTTTTTTTAATCAAAAACTATTTTAATATACCCAAAATCCTCTATGCCCTGAGATCCTCACCGATCTTCAAATGCAGCCATTTGCTAGTTTCCCACGAAACCCAAATTAAGGATCTCCTAGAAAACATATTAAACCTTAAATTCTCCAATTCATCTTGGCTCCAGGCCACCCTTCCATGCAAGTCTGGTGGTATTGGTATCCGATCCCCATTACAACTTTCCCTCTCAGCTTTTATCTCATCTAGTCTTGCTGCTCAATCTATTATCGACAATGGATATACTCCTTCAGATACTGACTTCTCACAGGCCCTCACCTCTTGGGACAACAACTGCTCTCCCACCCGTCCCGCTTCCAGTACCCAAAAAGACTGGGATGCTCCTCTGATCGCCCGTTACGTTGAATATTTTATTTCGAACAGGCCCTTTGAGGAAAATCCCAATAATTTGGTACTAAATGCAAACTCTGGCTACGAATGGTTGGAAGCCATCCCCAGCGCCAATCTTGGTCTCCTCATGACTGGCGAACAGCTACGTATATCTATAGCCCTCCGCCTCGGCTGTAATGTCGTAGTTCCCTCCATCTGCATCGATTGTGGTCAGCCCATTGAATCGAAGGCTTACCATCTCTTGCCCTGCAAGTTCTCCCGTGGACGACAACCTCGTCATAAATCTATCAATAACATTTTACTAGCCACCCTCAAAAAAGTTAATATCCCATCTACCCTCGAACCAGTGGGTCTTTCAAACGAATACGCCTTACGCCCGGATGGTATTTCTCTCATACCCTGGTCTAATGGTCTTCCGCTAACATGGGATTACACTTGCGTTGATTTTGCTGCCAAGTCTAACCTCTCATTTTCTGCTATCGAAAAGGCAGAAATCCTTAAAAAAATAAATACGCTTGCCTCGCCAACACTATGTTCATTCCTATCGTTATCAATACCCTAGGCATGATTGGAAATGAGGCCCTCAATTTCATTAAAATTATAGGAAAAAAAATGAGACAAATCTCAGGGGACCCCAATGAAGGATTTTACCTTCGCCAGCAGATTTCCCTAGAAATTTGCCGGTCTAATTTTTTAAGTATTCACTCTTCTCTTGGATGATATATACCCCCCCCCCCCCTTTTTTTTTTAAAACCCATATATTTTTTTTATAGTCTTTTTTAATGTCTTCATAGATCATATTATATTTAATTTTTAATATATCCATTTTAACAATAATTGAAAAAAATAAATAAATAAATAAAAATATATTATTAAAAAAAAAAAAGTGCTAAATATTTTACTCATCTTCTATTTTGATTTCAATAAATTTTCCCATTATAAGAAAAAGAGACATTTTTACTTTTATGATCAAAATGTTATTAAGATAAATTTTAAAAAAAAATAAGTTTTGTATAAATAAACGCAGTCATTGCAATATTTATACAAAATATTTTAACAACGTGAATTAAGTCATTTTAGCAGCCTTCTTCCTTAAGTTAAATACAAATCAATAACTTATAAAGCATAATCATAGGGAAATTATTAAATACCTTTCTTGTTCCTTGAATCTATACTATAAAAATTATAGTAATTTACATTAAAAAATAAATTAAAATGCAATTTTAATGTGAATTTACATCAATAATTCTGTTATCTATACCCTTGCTAAATAAAATTTAAAAAACATATGAAAATAACCTAACCAATAAGGCACAATATTTCTCAACACGATGTGCTTTTGTATAAATGCCATACTATCTTAACTAAGCTGTCATCTATGAATGACTATCAACGTCGGACTTATAATATTTCGCTAAGATAAAGTGATTTGACACAATCACAAATGTCTCTTGTACCCGTGCCTAAGAATGCTGCTGATCAAATGGATACTAGTGATAATGTAGATAGGAATAGTAAAGAATATAAAGTATATATCGATTTTATATATATTTTTAGTTATATTAAATTAAAAGGAAGCATTTAATAAGTTTATATTAAATAACCTTGAAAATCATCCTGCCAAGTTACTTAAAGAATATTTAGAACAGATAGATCAAATTATTACATATAACCCAGAAAAAGTTACTGAGTTAAGAGAATATATTAGAAAAACAGAAGATCTTATAGAAAATTTTGATAATGCAAAAAGTAATTTCTATATCTATTTTTATATTAACACAATATTATAGTTTTTATTGATATTGGTGGGTTCAATTATATTCCTAAATTACTTCAAGTCAAAGATGAAAATATTAAAGAGGCTACATGTGATTTCATAGCAGAATTAGTACAAAATCATCAAGTGTGCCAAGATGAAGCTCAAAAAATTAATATTCTGCCAGATATTATATCAATTTTTGATCATGATAACTATGATAATGTTAAAGTTAAAGCTATTTACGCCTTATCTAGTAAAATAAATTGATTCTACTAATATAACAATTTAAAGGTTTATTGAGAGGAAATAAAAATTTACAAACCCAATTCCTAAATAATGGTGGGATTGATATTTTGCTTAAAGGCCTACAAAGCCCTGTGGAAAAGATCAAACTTAAAACAACTCTTTTAGTTATGTACATGAGTTTAGAAAATGAAGATTTTACAAGTATCTTTACATTGTTTATGTTAATTATTACATCTTATTAGAACAATTTCACCAAAAGGGTATACTTTTCCAATTACTAAAAAATGTTATGACTTATGAACATGATCTCAGTCATGAGCACACATTAAATGCTATTCTCTCTATGGTCAAAACTGATCCAAGTCTTGTAACTGATCTTAAGCATTCATGCAAAGATCTCAAAACCTTTTTGCTTGAGAGAGGTGCAATCCTGGATGGGAAGCCAGAATATATAGTTTGGAATTTACATTTTTTTCTATTTCTGTATTTATTCAAAATTTATATATATAAATATTATAAACTATACATACAAACAAAAATTTTACACTGGTTAATTGTATTCCTAAAAAGGAATCTTACCATAAATTGCCATTTGAATTTTTTATATGATATAAATAAAATTCCTACCCTCATTTGTAAAATGTTTAATACAACACTGTAATATTTAATTGGAGTATGGAACCACGAATTTGTGAGAAAAGTGTAGGGGTTGAAAGCAGAATCTCTCCATCCATATGATATTTTTTAAATATTTGCTTTATTCTTATTTAAATACTACTACCATTATAAAGTAATAGGGAGCTGACAATGGCTAACTCAATATTTTATCCAGAAAAATATTACGCAAGCTGAAGATTTTTTTCATAGAAGGATTATCGAAATCTAGAGACGAACAATATTTTTCTGGTTAAAATACTGAGTTAGCCGTTTTTAAAATCGGCTCAAAAATGAGCTGTTTAACAACACTACTGATAACCATACCAATATTTTATAGTTTTCAATATAAAGCCACAACTAATAGCTGATAATCAATTAGTATAGTTATATTGATTTAACAGCATTGCCAATAAGTCAAAAATTAATTGATACAAAATATTTTATAGTTCTAGATTTACTGAGAAGTTTGGCTTTATATTGTGAATAATGCTTAAAAAAAATTCCCTTTATATCTATCTGACCAAGTGATATTTGTTTTAAATTTACTGCAAATTATATTTGTCTAATTATAATTACCTTAGAAATATTAAACGAAATCTTGATCTCCTTTCTACACTTTATAAGGTTGGCATCTGTGATTTGAATCTATACAAATATATCAAATATTGAAAACTTAAATACCAAATCTGAAAACTTTTATAATGAATAAAAGCACTTGTCCAAAACTACCTTTTCTTGAAAATGATTGTATATTACAACAATCAAATATTTATAATTATAAAAATTAATTATTTTTATTCCTGTCTAAGTTGTTTGGATAATGATTAAAGCCAATACTATTTAGTATTGTAAACCAGCCCTAGTAATGGGTTACAAAGTAATGGTGCCTTTTGAAAAATATTACTGTGTAAGAAAAGTAACAAATCATAATAATTATCAGAAGTTATATTTTTTTGGTTTATTTGACAACTAATTATCTTAGATGCATCAATACCATTTTTTAGCCAACAATACCTGTAGTCAAATGAATAATAAATACTTATCAAATTGTGCATTTTCCCATTTGTTTAAATGAGTCAAATAATTTACTACTCATTAGGCCTAAAACGAATTATTTGTTATTCGATTCGTATAGCACAATTATTCAAATCTAATTTTCGAATCGAATATGAATAATGAGAAAAAGTATTCGTCGAATATTAAATTTTTTATTATTCAAATTTATTTATATTTAAAATCTTTGAACAAATATCTATCTCATATAACATAAAGACAACTATTTTATCGGAAAAATTTAAGGAAATATATAATGAATACAAAGTTAAATATGATATTAATACTTATCCGTTAAAACAATAGTCCAGTCAAGCGTGACATGGATAAAATATTCAAACAAAATATCATCTCATCAACATCTCATCAATATGTGAGGTTGAAACATATCTTGATGAATTAAGAATAGCTTCTAGTAAGAGCCCATCAGAATGGTTCAAACTGCATGGCAAATCATTTTTTCTTGTTATAGAAAATGGCAATTGATATATTGTCCATTCAGGGAGCCTCGGCTTCATGTGAGCAGTTATTCTCAGTAAGGACAAATAGGGTAATGAAGAATAGAATGTTTTTCAAGGAAAAAATTATTAGAAAAACTGGTTGTTTTCAAATTTGGATCTAGCATAATTATATTTTAATGTAGTGATTATTTTTGATAAATTTTAGAATATTAGATCGAAATAATAATGAATAGAACAGAATTTATTATTTTTTTATAAGCATTTCTAATTCTAAAAAAATCTAGTTTTTTTTAGCCAATTATTCGGGTAACGTTATGAAATCATCGGGTTTTATTTCGTTTGTTATTTTCTGTAAATTTCTATTTGCTAATGACAATTAGTTTTAGCTAGAATCCTTATTAAAGGTGTCAGTTTTAAAACGTCCACATCTGTTTATAATTTTTTTTTGTAGACCCACTATACGAATTGAATTATTAGAATAACCAGCGCGATTGTGAGAAGAAGATGGGCATCACATAATTGACGTGCTTTCTCTTCGGAAGGAATCATGCCAAGGTGCTAAATAAATATAATCTATTTTTTTTATAAGGTTTAGATAAATTTTCGAATCGAATATTTTTTTGTAGACCTACGAATCGAATTATTAGAATAACCAGCGCTATTGTGAGAAGATGGACATCACATAATTGACGTACTTTCTCTTAGGAAAGGGGTCATATGCCAACGTGCTAAATAAATGAATGATTTATACAAGAATATATTGACAGAATTTTTTTTAAAATTTTTATTGCGCTTATATTAGAGTTGGACGAATCCGTTAAAACCATATTTTACAAAATATAAATATTTTAGATACAAATATCGTATTTAAAAATTTAACAAAGATACAATATACTTTCTATAAAAAATATTTAGCTGATCATTTATTTCTAAAATAATAATAGTTAACGATAAAATTAAACTTTATATTATATATTTTCCCTAGAACATACAATAATTCGAGAAAAAATTCATTATTCTCCAAATTGAATACAAAACAACTATATACATATTGAATAATTTTATTGTATATAATTTGCAAAACTTTTTCTGAACAATAGACTATAAAAAAAGATTGATATCATATCACTTTTCCTAAATTGCGATAAATAAATTGTATATGGCATGGCCAACAATTAGAATGGATGTATCGATGTAAAAATTAATCAACTGGAAATCGAAAAAATGTTGATCGTTTTAAAGGTGAAAGAATGACATCAATATTGCTGGTTTCTCCCAGAGGAACTCTCACAAAATTTATTCTAATAATTTTATATCATTTATATAACTATAATTAATAACCAAAAATATCATTATTGTAAAAAGTTTTTTTTAAAATATTTAATAATTTATTATAATGTTACCCTAGATTTCAAAAGATTTAATATTATTCAACAATTATCCTAAAGATAAATGTATAACCAGTACAATATACATGCCAGTACACATGTCTGAAGCTGCCACAAGGAATGGTAGAATGTTAGAAATATTATCATTTATTCAAAAAATCAAATTATATATAATGAAAATTAATGGAAAAATATTCACTCAAAAACGATATTCTGAATTGGAGTCCTGCAGAGCTGGCATAAAATAAAATATAAGCCCATCCCGTGACCCAAAAAATATTAATGTTAAATTCCCTTCCTTATCTTCAAGTTTAAAAAAAAAATTAGAAAGTGGGTGATGTTTACTATTCATTTTTTATGATGAATAGTTTAAAATATCATTTAAATTATCAAAGTTATTGCTGAATATATAAATTTAATCCAAAAAATTAAAATAGAGAATAAAATAATTTTTTTGAATTTAAAGATTTCTTCCCTATAGGGTTGCTAACCAAAACATGGGCATACTTGGGACGAAAAATTTTGATATTGAGATCGTTATCTTGAACTAGAATAATCGTACTATTAATCAGGGCTTAGAACCCAGACCAAACCTTTTTTTAAATTTTAGCGATCAAGAATTGTATTTTACCATTTATTTTCATTATTAATAACTTTTTTTTTGTTGAATCAATTTTACCACCAATAATTTCATAAAATTTTATATCATATGATTTAATAATGTTTGTTTGGTTACATTGTTAAATATAGTAACTTAAAAAAATGATTGAGAAATTTATTCAGAGAAACATTTTAAATTATGGGAGTCATCAAAGTCTTTTTTTCACTACAATAGTCTTGTTGCTGATAATTATTTTTTAAAATTGACTTTGGAAAATAAAATTTACAGAACATTAAAGTGAACAGACTCCGTCAATTTATTTAGAAATCTTCTCGCGCATACTAGATTAATAAGGATGTGTAAATATTTTTGACTGCTGGGAAGTAATGGCTCAATTTATCTGAAATTATCTATATTAGCGATAACTGTTATAGGTTTTCCAAAAACACGCGAACCTTTATTCAGATCGTATAGATGAGGGCAAGACTTCAGAAGTACATCAAACCAGAATGCAAAGGCAGTATAATAGATGACAAGAACGGAATTGTCGCAACCCAGCCATCAAAGTTCAAATTATTGAGAACGGGGGAAGAATCCAGTAAGGACTTGAGACCATTTAAGGAATCGATGTCCCGAAAGACGAGTGCCTCATCTGTCAAGACCCGTAGCGATGATCAGAGGAAATTCGTCAATGTTGAATAATCATATAAAATCCATTTAAGCTACTGATAACAATCGGAGAATATTTTTGAGTTCAACGGCCCCCATGATCCAAATGGAACATGAAGAGTGACCGATGGTTGATATCATAGCGGCGGAGTAAAAAGAACTATTAAAAGGGGATGATGAAAGTGTTGGTCATGAAAAAAATGGGACATGTTCCAATATCAATTTTGTAGCGATATTATTTATCTTTTGGGGTGATATATAAATCAAAGTATATTATTTTTAAGCATTAAAAAACTATAATATAATTAAAGAGTTGATTTAAATATGAGAAATCATTCCTTAATAGCCATTTTTGATATTATTAGTAAGGATGTACCGATATTTTTTATCGGATCGGGTCGATATTTCGCCCAGTTTAAAATATCGGTTATCGACCAATATTATAAAATTTTCCGATCCTTTGATATAAAATGGCGCCTTTAAAAAATAAATGTTGCAAATTTTTTTTTAAAAATTTATCATTTATTTTTATAAATAATATCGAAATCCATTTTTATGTATATTTTTTTAATAATAATTAATAAATAAACATTCTTGTCATATTGTTATTTTTCTGCGCATTCTG